GGGAGGGAAGTGTCACCAGCAAGCCCCACTTCCCAAGAAACCGCCCTCTTCACTTCTGCCAGCCTGAATGGTCAACAACCTTCAGGTTAAAAGAAAGCAGCAGGGGAAAGTCACAGCTTCCCCCSCAAAGGGGCTTAGGGTCTGGTTGGATAGATGGGCTGATAATATTGAAACCCTAATTAAACCCTAACTGCAATTCTGATCCAGTATAAAGTGAGCTCTCTTTCCAGAACAGGCCCCTTCTTGCCCTTCAACGTTATAGTGATCTTTTTACAACTAAACTAGTTATAATTCCGTGTGTGTATGTGGGGGGGGGGGTATTGGGGTCAAACCCAGGGCCTTGCACATGCTAGACAAGTGCTCTACCACTGAGCCACATCCCCAGCCTTATTCTTCTCCTTCGAGACAGGTAATACATTCACATAATACCATGTTACAAAACTACAAAGATTATTTGATTACATCTCCCAATTACTTTCTTCACTACATTTTTAAAATTCCAAAAGAGATTTGGGAAAGCATCTCTAGGAGGTGCAGAAGTGGTTGAGGGCTGAGGGGCCGCATCTTTGGGGACCAGGTTGGAAAGCACCTCTGTCTTTCAGGTGGTCAGAGGCACAAGGAAATGGTCTCAGAGTAGAAGTCCTGGTGACAGGACCCCAGGGGCACCATCTGACCTGAACTCCGGGCCTGTAAGACCCTCTGGCTCACCTCAGGCATGACGTTGGTGCTAGATGGGCAGTGCCCACTGCAGTAGCTCACTTCCACCTGGTCCAGATGGCAGGGGCCCTTGGTGAGGTTACGAAGCTCAGTGAGATGCCGGCAGGAGGCTGACTGTGCCTCTGTGTGTGGAAGGGTCATGTAAAAGTGGCAGGAGGTGGAAGCAGGGCAGAGGGGGAGGCTAGGACTAAGGGGACCCTGGGAAGGGGGTGTGTGGGGGACAGGGCCTGGGACTCTGTGGGGTGGGGGTGGCCAGCTGCTGTGATGCAGCCCTATAGAGCTTCATCCTCTAATCCCTATATGAGCAGCCTGGGCAAAGTGGGCACACACCAGGCTAAAAAGTTGGGGTGTAGGGGCAGTTGGGGAGAAAGGAGATGCAGAAGTGGTTGAGGGCTAAGGGGCTGCATCTTTGGGGACCAGAACCCAGATCCTACATACCCAGGGTCTCCCTGCGGCAAGTGGGACAGCAGCTCCCTGGCTCCTGCACAGTCACCTCGTCCTGCAGAGTGGCCCTTGCTTGAGTCAGAAGGATGGCCCCATCACCCACACCCCACACAGCCTGTGTAGAACCCTAAGATCAGTCATAGATGAGGACCCCTGAAGAGCCTAGGAGTCACCTGGAAGCATTGCAGAGCCCAGGGGGTACCTGAGCACAGTTGAGGAGGGGGCAGTGCCGGGTGCAGACGCTCCTCCCGCCGAGGCATCGGCAGCTCTCACAGTCCTCCTGCCATTCAGATCCAAGCTGGGAGTGGGGGTGGGGAAAAGTCACCTCTTGGTCTCTCCCAGTTTCCCATGGTAACATCTTGGGCCTGAACCCAGCCTGGGAGCACCCAGCCAGGAYGGTGGTCTAGGACTGGAGTCGGGTGATGAGTCTCAGGTAAGTGACAAGCCCTAGTGGCCAGAGCAGGGGTCCCACCCAGGGCTAGATTCTGTCCCTTGAGGTGGCCAAGCCCGGCTCCACTGCTGTAGGTCCTGGGAGTAAGGGCAGCCAGGGAAGTTACAGATACTCGGCAGGTGGGGCGTCCTGGGGTCAGGCAGGGGGAMACGTCTTACCAGGTGGAGATGCCCGTGGTGCCAGCATTCACACTGGTCTGCGGGGACGCAGGGGCCCGCCTGGCTACGGAAGTATCCTTCCTGGCATATGCATCCCGGGGTCTGGACAGCACTGCAGTTGTCCTGAGCTGCTGTGGTGTTTGTCTCCTGGCATGTCCACTCACAGGGACCCAGCTCTTCAGGACCCATGTGCTGCCACATTTCCCCAGGGGGGCACTCTGTAGAGAAGACCATCCACCCACTCTCTGGTCAGCCCTGGGCCCAGCCTCAATCCCCTGCCCTGCTGGGAAGCCCTCAGACCCCTCTTCTTCCCAAGTGCTTCTCCTCAGCTCTAGCCACCTGCACTCACCCACCCACCCAAATAGCTGGGCCCAGGCCAGGTCTCACCCCCTGGCCATCCTGCCACCCTGACYTCTGTGTTCTGGCACCAAGTTCACATGCTGTGACACTGCCTGCTTGTCAGTGCCCAGGCGTGATCTCCTGTCTCTACCTGTTCTGGTGGTGGCCCCCTCTTGCCAGCCAGGCTGGGAGTGCCTGGGGCTGGCCGTGTCTTCCTCTGAATCCACCGAGATCTGTGGATTGTTTTGCTTACCGCTCTGGGCCTCAATGTCCTCAACAGCAGGACAGAACCTTTCACAGAGAACCTGGCCTCACCGGTGGCCCTGGCTCAGTGTGCACATGTTCTTGGTGAACACCCTACAGGTGGGGCCCTGTGACAGTGCCTAGGAGTCCTGGGCAGGGACTGCTGGGCCTCAGGGCAGAGAGGGGGCAGTGTGGACAGAGAGGGAAGGGGCTTCCTGAGGAGCTAGCTTAGCTTCGCCCCTGCTCAGGCCGGCCAGCCTTGGCGTCGAGGGGCATGGACAGCCACATCTCACCCTGACAGTCGATGGGGGAGCAGCTGAAGGCTCCATCTTGGCAGGTACTGGGAGGACAGAAGCACAGCTCAGAGCCTTTTGCGCAATCCTCCCCTCCGCCCCTCTCAGCAACCCCATCCTCACCCGGCTCCCCACTCCAAGTCTCTGGGCTCACCAGCGGGTGCAGTTTCTGGTGAGCACAGCCCCCGGGGGCAGCTCCTGAGCCTGCTCTTCAGGAGTGAGGGTGAGGCCCCAGGGCAGCAACAGCTGAGTGCAGGGACAGGCAGCAGGGGGCACGCACGTGCCATTGTGCAGCAGCTGAGGAGGGCAGGCTTGCTTGAATGTGGTCACTGCCTCTTACCTCCCAACCTGCCCACTTCCCCAGGCAGGAGTCAGGACCCAGCAGCTGTACCCACCTGTCCCCTGGGGCAGCCACAGCCCGGTTGGCAGGGTTCCTGCTTACAGATGGTGCCAGGCTGCAGGTGTGAGCAGAGGCTTGGGCATGACGCAGCACAGGCACTGAACACCTGGCCTGAGGGGCACTCTGTGGGGGAAGTGGGAGTGTCCCAGGATGAGGCTGATGGGACTTCCCAACCTCCGCCTCCACTCAGGTAGGTCGGGGCCTGGATCCAGCAGTGATGGAGGGACGGAGGGAGGGATGGCAGGCCCCTGGGCCCAGGGTGCTCACCAGGGCAGGGCTGCAGGTTACAGTCTTGCTGTTGTTTCATGTCCTGGGCCTGGCATAGTGCCCCCTGAGGATGTTCCTTGCAGCTCCGATGACGGTCCATGGTGCCCCCACCACAGGCAACTGAGCACTTGCTCCAGGCTGACCAAGGCCCCAAGGTTGGACACTCAAGGTGTGGGCACACTAAAGACCCATTGATGCAGGTGCTGTGGACAAGGGACAAAGCAGGGGGAACAAAACCTCACTCCTCTGCAGGGTCCACAGCCCTGACCTGCCCCACATCTCCTACGCCAGGGCATCACTATGGCAGCTCACCAGTTGTGGCAGTCCAGTTGCACCACCTGGGCTGGGGCCAGCTCCCAAGAGGCATTGGCACTGGGAAGGCCACAGCGGCAAGAGGAGATGGGCACACAGTGCCCATCCTGCACCAGCTGGCCAGGAGGACAGCGGCAGCCTAAGGGTAGCAGTGGGGAGGACAAAGAAGGTTTGGTGCTCAGGCAAGGCTTACATGGTGGGTCCCTCCCACAGCCACACCTGGTGCAAATGTGGGTCTGCACAATCTCTCCCATTGCTGCACAGGAGACACTACTCTAGCCTGCCCTGTGTGTGTGATCACCATCCTGTCACCCTTATAGCACCTGTGAGCCTCCTCATAAAAGCAGGGCTTGACAAAGCCTTTGTGCAGGACTCAGAGCTGGTTACTACAAGTAAGGACCCACTTTTGTACTCTGTGATGACCTGGCAGTCTGATCTTACCCCCCACCCCACAGCCCACTCCATCCTCGACCCAGGTCTCACACTTTCTGGAAGCAGGAGGTAGTGAAAGGGAACCAGGCATCCCCAGAATTCCCAAGCCAGGCTGAGCACAGCTGGCTACCTGGACTGCAGGGTCCCTGCAGACATTGCACTCGGTCCCAGAGGTCCATGCAGCTTCGAGGGCATTGATTGGCACATTCAAGGGTGGGCACAGTGTCCTTAGCCTCACAGCTTTTACCTGGGGCCCAAAAGGTAGGAATCTGTGTCGAGGACACTCTTGGCATCCAGGGCAGTGGCCCCACTTGTCCTGTCCAACTCCAGGACAGGGGCACCAACCCTGTGCAGGTGCTATTTCTGAATGCAGTCCTGGCAGCCCTTTGGATGCTGAGATGGCATTACCTGGGCAGGGCCCCATATTGCAGCTCTGGGTCTGAGCCCATGGCCCACGGCAGGCTCCTCCAGGGAGGCCCCCTGCCTCTCTCCAGCGCATTCGGAAGCCTCCACTGCAGGGCACCTGGCAGGGGCTCCAGGGTCCCCAAGGGTTCCACTGGCATGAGTCTGGGAAAGAAAATGTAGGTCAGTGTATTGACCCCACCTCCTTCCCTGCCTTAGACTGTGAACTTGACCTCTGCAAACATGTCCTGAAGCCTTGCCAGGCTCCCCTTCTTTCCAGCTGCTGCTTGGACCTTACCCCAGCCTCGAATCCAGCAGGCCCCAGAGGCAAGCAGGAGGGCTAGTAGGTTGGCTAACTCCTGTCCACTAGAATGAACTTGTGGCCCAGCTTCCCACCCCCTTCTGCCATTCCAGGCCTGTTCCTCCCTGTTGGCCTCTGCCCCTCCTCACTACCTTGACAGGCTTCGGGGTCAGGGCAGAGGCGTTGCTGGTTAAGGGGTGCAGTGCAGAGCTGAGGGTCCCCAGCCCAGGGCCTCCCTGTCTCAGGGTCCAAACACAGGCGGTGGCGGTGCTGCTCCGAAACCAGCAGGGATGTCGAGGGTGGCCAGAGGCCTGTTGTGTTCGGAGGCCAGTGCTCCTCCAGGGTAGTCCTGGACGTACGGGTCAGGGCACTTCGGGGCAGGCAGGGCCCACAGGGTGACCATTCGGACCAGCTGCTCAGAGGCAGAAGCCCTAGAAGGGCAGGAAGTTTGTGCACTTCCCAGGGACCCCTTCACCCAGAGACCCCAGTGGGCAGGGAGGGTGCTCAGGGTTACGATCAGGAAGAACAGGAAATAGGAAAGACTGAAGGAGGTTAGGGGCAGGGAAGGGTCCCCTTTATCTGGGATTATCCCAGTTTTAGCACTGAAAGTTCCAGGAAACCCCACCCTGGGCAAATGGGGACAGTTGTCTCCCCAGGCCAGGGTTACCTTCACAGCCCCAGCTGGTGCAGCGCAGTTCTCCGTGCCAGCATTCGCTGTGGGAAGGTGACATCAGAGTGGGCTCTGGCAGGCAGGTCCCAGCCCAGAGCTGTGTGTGTTGGAGGGTTCCTTTGGGGACAGCCTGAGCTCTGGGTGTATTTGGGGCAAGATGAGGGATCTGTAAAGTCTGGCACCTTGGGGCCACCTGCCTGCAGGCTGGGTTAGACCTGAGGGCTCAGCTTGGCCTTCTCTGCTAGGCCAGGCTGCCTCTTGGGGGGACCCTGCTCTACTCCCTGGCCTTAGCCTTCTGCCTCTCATCACCCCATCACTCACCATTCCTTACACCCCAGCTGCAGGTGGTCCCCAGGGGCCAGTGTCACCTCAGCTCCCTCTTCTGAGATGTGCCAGCAGTTACATTGCTCTGGGGGAATGCAGGCCCCAGCCTGCTCCAGCAGCCCCTGTGTGGAAGGAGAGACACGACAGGGCTATGTGGTGGTCACTGTGTCACCCGAATGCCCAGCGCCATGCTGGCCGGCAGCAGGTGCCCAGGCGGTCACTAAGTGAATGAATGTGGGAATGAACACAGCTGGGAAGAGGTTTTGAGGGTTTGGAAGAGGTGGGGGTCCCCCAGGGCATCACAAAGAGAGGGCACTCTTCTTCTTGGGGTGTCCCCAGCTCCCAGCCCTCACCTTGGGACAGTAGCAGCCAGGCTGGCAAGGTGGTAGGTCCTGGCAGAGCTGCCGGCTCAGGTGTGTGGCACAGAGCCCGGCGCAGGGGGAGCCACAGGCCTGGAACTCAAAGGGAGGTGCGCAGCTGTCCTCTGGGGGGAGGCAGGCTGTTGGGGCAGCAGCCCAGAGACACCCTCCCGCACCCCAGCACAGACTGCGTGACCCCAGGGAGGCTCCTGGGATCACCTGGTGAGAGTATAAGACTGCCCCTGCTGTGTCCCCCATCTGGAACCTGCTGGGCTCCTGTGTCCCCCCAGGGGAGGATCAGTATGGTCTGGCCCTCAGAGAGCCAGGTAATGGTACAGAGGAGGGAGCTGAGGGTTGGGCCTGGTGGGTGCTCCGGGGACTGGCAGGGACAAGATGGAGGGCAGCTTCAATGGGAGCTGAGAGACACATTGTCACTGGGACAGCTACATGGGACAAAGCCACATGAGACCAGTAGCTATGGAGTGGGAAAATCTTGGTGTGTGCCTGTGGGGCGAGAGTAGCTGGCAGGGACAGTAAACAGGCACCGGGGCAGGGGTTAGTGCAGGCATAGAAAACTGTCCTGGGGTCTAGGGGGCCCTGGGTTTGTGATAGGAACCGCTGCTGCTCCTGCTCAGCAACCTGGCTTCTGGCTCCTGGGCCTCACCTGAGCAGTTGCCAGTCGGGCATGGCCGGAAGTGGCCATCCAGGCGGGTGCAGGGGGGGCCCTCTGCCATGCGGCCAGGTGCTGGGCCCTGGTGCCGGTAGCGCTGCTGCACCAGCACCTGGCATGAGCAGCGCGTCCAGCTGCTCCAGCCACTCCACAGGCATTCCTCTAGGGACAGGGGGTGCGGGGGGGGGGGGACATCAGCAGGCACCTCTCTGGCTCCCCCAGCCCCTGCCCTGCATCCTCCCCTCTCACCCTCCCCTGGCTGGGACCCTGCAGAGGACACGGGCAAGAGGGAACCAAGAGTTAGAAAGGTCCCACTGGGTGGACTCTGTCTCCCTGGGGAGGAGGTCAGGTGGCAAAGGGCTTGAAGGGAAGAGGAAAGAAACCAGCCAAATGTTGGGGGGATGGATATAGGTATATATCGGGGGTGCTGGGGGGCGAGGACAACACGTTATTCCCTGAATTTCCCCAGATGGGAGCGGTGGACAGGGCTCCACTTCCTCGCCATACTCACCCAGGCAGGGCCCCGCGTAGCAGGCCTGCGTGTCCAGGTGTGGGAAAGTGCCGTTGCATGTGGGCTCTGCCTCGGCGGGCAGGCAGGGGCAGGACCCGGAGCGGGAGGCCAGGCCTGAGCCACAGCTGCGCGAACAGGGGCCCCATGGGCCCCAGGAGCAGGCCTCCAGCAGCGGCTGGCATGGCTGCTGCCCACAGGGCTGGGTCTGGGTGTCAGGGCCCTGGCAGAGTGGCTCCCTGTGGTGAGGGTCCGGCACCACGCATGCCCGGGTGCGCACCTGGTTTCCTCCTCCACAAGAGACAGGGCAGTCGGACCACAGGGACCACAGCGTCCAGCCCCCTATCAGTGTGGGAGGGCATAGGTAGTTAGAGGAGTGAGGTGGGCAGCAAAGACCAGAGGGTGGGAGGGACCATCGTGACCGGGGCAGCAGTTGGGTGGCAGGGGTAGGGACACAGGACACAGAGTGGACGGCCTGAGAGACATGAGGCTAGCAGGAAGGGCTGAGGTGGGTGCCACGCAGGGTGAGTGGGTTCTGTGCAGCTGCGGGAACAGGGGAACCATGGCGACCAGGGGCCCCAGCCACCTGGGATGAACCCCAGACCTGGACACTTGGTGTCTTCACAGATTATGCCCTCCGGAGTACAGGAGCTGAGGAAGGAGTCCACACTTAGGGTACCGCTCTCCAGGACAGTAGGGTCACCCTTCCTGCCTTGAACTTACCACTGCTGGCACTCTCCCTGCAGCCAGCTGTCCCCCAGGGTGCGGACACGGCCCTCATGGAGGCACAGGGGTGGGCACGGAGGCTGAGGGCAGGGCTGGCTCTGGGACTGCTCCTCTTGACACTCCGGGGCCCACGAGCCTGATGTGGACGATCTGGCAGGGCCCAGGGTGGAAGAGATGAGCAATAGCTCTGGCCTTCACTGCCCCTTCAGGCCTTGGGGCGATACCCCAGGGGAAACTCCAGGGTGGGCACAAGGGAGGCTAGAGAAAGGCTTGGTAACCAGGACACAGGTGGACCAGGACATGGGATGAGAACAGGACCCAGGAATGGCATGTGGGAGAGGGGACCAGGCCAAGGGAGACCCGAGCAGGAGAGGGGACCTCTAGTCTTGGTGGCCCTCTACCGAAAGCGACTCTGCAGTCCTCTTGGCCCACATGAGTGGCTGCAGGGACTCCAGGCTGACCAGCGGCTCCAGGCACAGTGGGCAGGAGGTGGGCATGGCTGAGCTGTGCAGGACAGCTGCCCGGCCTGGCAGGAGCAGTTGTTACAGGCATCTTGGTGCTGGCTCCCTGGGGCCCAGCTGTGGCCCTGGGCATCTGTACACTCACAGTGCCCAACTGGCACACAGCTGCTGTCCTGCTCTAGGGACCCTGTGGGGAGATGGCTCTTGAGGGCTGGTGCTGGCCCCTGGGGCCCTCCTGCCTTCCCACTGAACACCTGGATGTACCCTCAGCACAGCGGCAGCCCCACTGGCAGGCCTGGCCATCCTGACACAGGACTCCCTCCTGCAGGTCTGAGCAGCGGCGAGGACAGCGGTTGGCACAGCTGACCAGCTCCATGCCTGCTGGGCAGCCCTCCTCTGGGTGGAGGGGGAGGCCAAGTGTCAAGAGGACCCTGAGCATCAGGGCTCAGGACCCCTCCCCTTGCCTGTCCAGGACCCCCGTATCTCTAGAGGCTAGAGGGCTCATCCTCTCTTTGATGTTGGTGTCCATAGGCGCATGGTGACCTTGGGACAGTGAGCTCCCCTTACCCACTGGTGTGTTCTCAGCACCTAGCTGGGCACGAAGTGTTCATTGAGTGGGACTGAATTTATGCATCTCAGAGCTACCTTGAGGCTCCCTTGGGCTTGTTCCCAGGGGCCTGGCTGTGTGCAGTGTGGGCTGGGGGTTTCCTAACGGAGGAGGAAGGGACCAAGTAGCCAAGGCCTGTTGGGGTCGTGAGCTGGGGAGGAGCGATGAAAAGAGCTGAAGCGGGGCAGGCTGGGGGACAGGGCTCAGCTACAGGCTCCACCACACCCCAGGAGAACCAAGCATGCTTCTACTGGCTCACCCTCAAATCCTCTGAAAATCTTGTCTGAGCTTGGGGGTTCCCCAGGAGCAGGAGGGTGGGGAAAGCTGGGAGTGAGTTCTACCCAGGGTGGGTGGGTGGTCAGGGTGTGTCCCGGTGGCTCCTCCTGGGCCATGCAGTTCCCAGGTGCACACAGGGAGTTCCTGCCCCGTGCACAGGTCAAGCTACTCATCTCTGGATCTCTGTTTTCTTAACTGGCCAGTGAGGTAACAGCCTGTCCCCCACTATCCCGTGGTTCCTGTGGGTGTTGTGGGGATGGAGTTAGAAGTGGGGGTGGACATGCTTTAGAGACTGAAGCCCAGTAGGGATGAGAAGCGGCTGTCACCACTGCTATACCACAGGGCATGGGATTGCAGAGTYGGGCATGGTGCTTCTCCCCCACACAGGGGGCACCCCCATTCTTGGGTGGGGGGCTCGAGCAGCTTCGGCTCCTCAGGGATCGGCCCCCACCACAGCTCCGGTCACACCAGGACCAGGGGCTCCAGCGCGACCAGCCCCCGGGCACTGTGTTGGAAAGAGAGCTCCATCAGGGGTTGGCTCAGGCAGGTCCCCACCCATTCCATGAGGCTAAGCCTGTGTCGGGCATGGGAGACAGATGGGGCACGTCGGGCAAGCTGGGCACCTCGGAGGAAGCAGGATGCCAGGCCTCTTATGGGCAGATCTGGGGAGGGGTGTGGGATGGGTGTGCCCTGATCCTGTGTGCCGCCTCACCTGGGCAAGCACGCAGGCTGCAGAAGCGACGCTCCTGGAAAGCCGTGAGGATGTCGGGGCACCAGTGTCCACCCGGTCCTGGGGGACGGTATGCTCGTAGGCGGCGCTGTTGGCCCACCCCGCAGCTGCGTGAGCACGGTTCCCATGGGCCCCAGGAGGTCCAGGAACAGTTCCCAGGCCCACAGCCAGGGCTGGAGCACAGGGGCTGCAACTCTGCAGAACAAAGTGAAGCTGGAGCCAGCAGAGCCTGCCCCGCCTCTCCTCCCTGGCCCCAGCTCAAGTGCAGACTTCCTCCAGTGCAGCCGGCTGTGACCTCATCCGGACCATGGGCTTCTGTTCTGGATCTGGTGCTGACGGTTGTGTGGCTCCAGCAGCTGAGCCTTGATGACTCTTTTCTCATGGGGACAGTAATCCCCCACTCACAGGGCTACTGAGGGACTGGGTGGTCTTGTGGAGAGTGCTCAGCACATACATGAGTGAGCACCGGGCAGACAGCAGGGCTCCTGCAGAGGACCAGTGGCCCTGTTCCAGACACTGATGTGACATGAGATATCAGTGTCAGAAATTGGTGTTGTCTGAGTGGTATCAGATATTGGGGGTGGGGGGTGGGACACTGGCTGTGTTAGGAGAGGGGCAGCAGTTAGAGTCCAAGGCTGAGGCTGGACGGCGCACCTGTGCACGAGGGCAGGTTGCAGGGGCGCTCCTGGGAGGGTCGCCCCACAGTGCAGTTGGTCAGGCAGAGGCGGGTCCGACTGCGCCAGGCAGGGTGAGTGGGGTCCGTGCAGCTGCGGGAGCAGGGGGACCACGGCGCCCAGGGGCCCCAGCCACCTGTGGGAAGGGAACCTCCTGCTGAGTCAGCCCTGGGCTCCATCTCTCCAGAAGTAGTGAGGGGAGGGGAGGAGGCCCTGGCAGGCCCCAGGGAGGCCACCTGGGGAGCTGCAGGGAGTCTGAGGTACCTGGAAGGCCCGTCACTGGCTCTGCCGTGGACCCTTCAGCCCCTGTGTCAAAGGAGACCCTGCTCAGAAATGTTTTGGAGCCAGCAGTGCGCCAGGCCTCAGCCCGAGGCGGGTGCTCAGCGCCAGGCCTGCTTCACCTGCCCTCGTGGTGACCGAAGTCCCTGGACACCCAGCCCCGAGCTCACACCCTCCCAGGGCACCAAGGCCTCTGTTCAGGCCGCTCTTCTGCCTGCTGTTCCTTCCTTTCCAGTGCCCATCAGAACGCTTTTTACCCCTCCAAACCCTTCACATGGGGTCTCCTCCAGAAGCCCCCCTTGGCTTTCTTACCAGGGCAGTCCGGGCTGAGGCAGTACTCGAGGTCCTGGCGGGGCCCTTGGCAGCCCTGGCCACCAGTAGCAAGTGCGGGGTGCACACACTGGCGGCTGCGTGTGCGGGTGCCCAGGCCGCCACAGGAGCGGGAGCAGGGGCCCCACGGGTCCCACGGGCTGAAGCTGGGGGCCTCAGGGCAGTCCTCTATGGAGCAAGACAGCTTCCCGTGGGCACAGGAGCTGGGGAGAGGCAACCCACGTAAGGGACAGGGCAGGGTGGACTGGGAGAAGTGTGGGTCAGAGTCTTGAAGACAGCCAGGTAGGGGCAGGGGACAGAGAGGAATTCCTGTGCTCTCATCCTTCTTTGGCCCCAAATTTCCCCACACATCCCAGCACAGTTCCCACCCTCGGCATCCCCCTCACCAGTTGCTGCAGCCCATTCGAAACATTTGGCCTGGACTCAGCTCATCTCCGGGCCTGAGGGGCTGACCCTCCTCTCCCAGAGAGGCTGCGTGCACCCCGGCATCAGTGCTGCTGGCTCCCAGCTCCCGAAGCAGCAAGGCTGTCAGCATGCAGGGGCACTCCTGGGTGGGACAGAGGGGACAGCAATCACCCAGGACAACTGCTCACGGGGCACCTTAAGGGAGCCTTCTTAAGGGAGAAGAAGGAATAGCAGTGTAAGGACCTAGAGGGCTCTGGGTCCCAGGAGGGCACTAGTGGTTGCAAGAGGGACAGGGGACCTGTGTCAGGGGCATAAACACACCATGAGAAATACACAGGCCATGGGCTTGGCCTACGGGATCAGCCACCTTCCTGAGTAGGGTGCTCAGCAGGACACAAGCAGGCCCTGAGATGACAGGATATGGAGGCAGAGGGAGCCTCAGACAGGAATCAGAGGATTCAGGGTGACTGAGTTTGGGTGCATGACCTTGGTATGTCCCTTCCCCTCTCTGGGCTCAGTGACATCATCTTTAAGTCAATGAGGTGGGACGAGGCAGCTGCACAGGTCCCTTCTGGCCATGGCATCCTCGAACTGACTGTGGGGATGCCACTGAGATTAGGAAAGGAAGCTCCTGGCCCCTGTTGGACTCAGCAGAGGGGCAGAGAGGTATGGTGGGGGCAGGGAGAGCCAAGGTGAGGGGTAATTCCCCACCAGGGTGGGCCAGGGAAAGGAGGGCACTGAGACCATGTTCCTGTGGTGGGAGACATGGGTGAGGTTGGGCCAGGGGGTGTGGATGGATGGTGTGGGGGAGCCACGGGGCCCTGGAGGAGGCCCTGCCCTTTGGTGCCAGGAGGGCTGAGTGTTGTAGCTAAAGGGACACACTGTGGCACCTGAGTGTATGGCATTAGAGCCCTGTGGGTGGCTCTGAGCTGGTGCTAGGGGCTAGGAGAAGTGCTGTGAGGAGCACAAGCCCCGGCACCAGCTGTGGGCCCCAGGTGGTCCCCTTTCCCCAGAATGAGAGATACCCTGGACACTGCACAGGCTCCACCAACTCTGCCCTGATGCTGGCAGCAAAGTCCCTAGCAGCCCTACAGGCTAGTGGACTGCTTAGTGAGGAGGGGGTCGTCTGTCCAGAGGTCACTGAGTCGCTGAAGTGGTGAGCTGCCAGGGAGGGGCAGGGGAAGGCAGCCAGTGCTCCTGGCCAGCTGAACTCTGACCTGGACACAGGCCAAGCCATGCTGGAAGGTACCCTCAGGACAGTGGCATCCCTCCTCACAGCCATCAGAGAAGCAGGCCACCTGCCCTGCGACGTGGGCACAGGAGAAGGGGCATCCTCCATTGGGCAGGCATTCACGGTACAGACGTCCAGCTGGGCACCCTGCCTCTGGGGCAACAGCCCTGTCAGTGCCCAGCTCTGCCCAGGGTTCTTCCTGCTGACCTCTCACCCACACTTCCTGTGGCCTGCTTTCCACCCCCGGGATCCCCATCCCCACAACACCCTTTCCCACAGGCTCCCCTCGGCCTCCCTGCCTCCCCTTCACTAATGGCCAGGGAAGAGGCAGGTGGAGTGAGGGGAGGAGGGGTCAAAAGGCGCCCATGAGTCAGGGTCGAGCCATGATGGGACTCAAAGCTCAGTGGGGACTTCAGGGCCTGGGACAGTGGGGCTCACCTCTGCAGACCTGGGTGTGGCAGGTGCGGCTCTGGCGGGCCAGTCCTGGGCAGGGGGGTCGGGCACAGTGCCGGGAGCGCAGCTGCTCCCCTCCTCCACAGGAAACACTGCAGTCCTCCCAGGGGCCCCAGGGGCCCCACACACCAGCCCCAGGGCAGCTGGGCACCTCCCAGCACTGCAGGACGCCCGCCACACAGGTGCTGGGGACAAGCGAGAGGGCTTCAGGGATGGGCCTCGCCCACTCCCCTTTGGGCATGGCTGCTGGGCTCCACAGCCCCTTACCAGTTGTCACACGGCCCCGTTACCACCTCTCCAGGTTCCAGACTCTCCCAGGAGCTGAGGCCAGAGCCTGCTGACCGGCTCTGATTCTCGGGGATCCCTGAAGGGCGCAGGAGTGAGCATGGGGGTTCCAGACAGCTCAGCGCTCCCCATCGGTCCCCACCCCACACCCCTGCCTTCCTGCACCCCACCCCACGGTGCCCATGTCCTTCAGCAAGGAGACAGGACAGCCTGGGATGGGGGCCTTCCCCTTCCCCTCCTGCAGCCTCAGGTTGGCCCCGTTGGCAGAGGCCCAGGGGCCAGGCAGGGGATAGTGGAGTGGGCTGCTGGGGGAGGGGGGGAGGCACTGACCCATGGCTCCCGGCTGGTACTGGCAGCGGCAGTGGACTGGAAGCACACAGAGCCCATCCTGGGAGAGCTGGCCTGGGGGACACCCACAGCTGGGCTGGCAGCCTCCTGGGCCTGGCTGGCACACACTCCCAGGGGACAGGTCCAGGCAGGAGCGGGGGCAGGGCTGCCCACAGGGCAGCAGACTCTGTCCACCCCCACAATCTAGGGCAAGAGGGAAGCAGAGAGGGTGGATGCTGAGGGACCATTCTGGGTGACAAGAGCCTCCTGCCACGCCTGCCGTCTGCTCAGACTGGCCACCTTGGCCAGGACCGTGAGGACTAGAATGCCCTCCCCACCCGAGTGCTGTGTGGGGCAGTTGGGGTCAGCGCCTCCCTAGACGGACAGGCTCTCCCAGCCCTGCTGGAGCCCTCACCTGCGCACTGAGTGGAATTGTCGTGACAGGGGCGGCTCTGCCAGTGGACGCCAGGGCAAGGCCTGCCACCCTCAGAGGTGGGGGGCTGGCTGCATTCCCTGCTCCTATGGGATTGTCCTAGACATGCGTCACAGGGAGACCATGGTCCCCATGGGCTCCAGGCTCCATCCACTGTACCAGGAAGAAACAATTGTCACCTCAGGAGGCCCGGGAGACCCCAGGTTATGGAGGTTATAGCAGTCGGGCCTCCAGGGGTGAGGAGACACAGGTCTTATGGTGGCACCACACCTGGGCACGTGGTGGAGCTGGGACAGGTCTCCCTCTGATGCTGGGCTCCCATCTCTCCAGGACACAGGGCACCCCCATGCTGAGGAGCAGGGCAGGCACAGGCCCTAGAGCGGGTCCTTGTTTGGCCTCTGCAGGGCTGGAAGCATGCCGTCCACTCTGACCACGGGCACCAGCCTCCAGGCACTGAGAGGAGAATGGCAGGCACTGGGTGAAGTTGATCCCTTCCCCAGCCCTCAGGCCATCATCACCTCCCTCCAAACTGGGCACATACCTGGGCAGGGCAGTTCTGAGCAGTTGAGCCTCCCCTCCAGGCAGGTGCTGGGCAGGGAGGCAGGCACAGGGTGGGGAGAGGCAGCAGCTCAGTGCCGCTCCAGGCCCCACAGGCAGCCTCCTGGGCATCCTCTCCCTGTCCTCCTCCCCCTATTCCTCGGGTTTCTGTCCCATCTCCCCACTCTCCAGTGTCCCAAGAGCCTTCTCCCTGTGCCACTCAGATGGCCGCCCAGGGGTGTCACAGCTGGTATGTTCTACTGGGGAATGGCTGCAGGTGAGGCTGGACAGCCCCCTCCTCCCTGGGGGCGTATACCCAGCCGTCAGCACACACAGGGAACTGGCTGCCTCAGTTTCCCCACCTATCAGATAGGAGTTATGGTGCCCACATTTTTTCAGGGACAGTGGGGCCTAAGGTGCCCACTGGCTGAGATTCTGGAGCTCAGGTGCTCAGACGCCAGGTGGGGCCACTCCTGCGGACATCCCTGCCTCCTTGCCACAGGGGTGCAGCCCGCTCACCAGTGGTTGCAGCCGTCGGGCCTGGCCAGCTGAGCGCCTGGACGGTGCCGCTCCCCGGTCAGCAAGTCCAGGCAGCCACAGTGACCAGGATGCACACAGAGGGTCCCATCAGCACTCAGCACCTGGCCTGGGGGACAGTAGCAGCCAGGCTGGCAGTGCCACACACAGTGCTGGAGGGACAGCAAGGGAGGATTCTGGTCAGCAGAAAACAAGGCCTGAGGGGTGGGGGGACTCAGTGGAGGGACCCTCGGAAGGAGGCTGGAGGGAGAGGATGAGGAGGGGAGGAGAGAGGTGTGACCGTAGTGGAGAGGCCTCCTGTTTCTAACCGTTGGTGCCTTGGAGCTCTGTTAAGAAAGGCCAGAAGGGGAATGGGCAGAAAGGCCATTCCCTGGCGGCTCCCAGGGAAGGGACCTGGAACCTGGCGTCCTACCAGTGACAAACCCCGATGTCTTGGGATGGTGGGTTCAGTCGGTGACCTGGACCAGTGACCTGGGAGCTGAAGCACAACCAGACCTCCCTAGAACTTCAGGAGCAGGGACCCTAGAAACCTGGCTGAGCCAGGGAGGCTTCTGGGAGAGAGCTGTGTCCTCTGGGGACGCTGTAGCCAGGCCTGCCTGCTGCAGCGACACTGCTCTGTCCAAGTCCTCTTGCACCTCCCCCTCCCTCACCACATCGGGAACCTTCCCTGACCTGCCTCACACAGCTCCCCACATCAGGGCCTCAAAGACCATCTTAATCCTCAGGGTGCTTATCACGGTGTCCAATCTCAAGCTGCATCTGTCTTCCTACCCCCAAAATGTGTGATCATGGGGACAGGGCCCCGCTGTGTGGGCCTCCTTCGGTGTCCATGGTGACCGGTAGGTGCTCAGTAAGTATTCACTCACATGCACAAACACAAGAGATGAGGTTTGCCCACCAAAATGCTTGTGGCATCTAAGAAGATACGCCCGGGTGATTTCCCCTCCCTATATGTTTGTGATACAAGTTTTAATTGGGGGAACATTTGCTGCACTGAAGCCAAGGGCTTCTGGGTATAGCTGTCACTCTCTGGAACCAGGGGAGCCAGCCTGGTGTGCTGATTGTCAAGTGAAGCCCAGGACCTCACCCGTCTCCGTCAGAGCTGGCCACATAGCACCAAGTCAGAAGAGGCCACGAGCCCAAGGCAACATTCAGCCTCTCCACAAGGTGACCCTTGGGTCAGAGGTCAGCTGGGAGTGTCAAGGGAGCGCAGACTCACCACCAGGTCATCACAGGAGCGGGGGCAGGGAGGGCCGCAAGGGCTGTACTGGGCCCCCTCAATGGCAGTGCAGTCAGTCACTGGGAGGGAGACAGAGTGGGCTGAGAGCAGGTGGGGGCCTCCTGTCCCACTCCCAGTGCCGCTTCCTCCAGCTTCTCTTCTGCTCCCCGGTACCCCCCTCCCTGGCAGGTACCTGGGCACGGCTGAGCCTGGCAGGCTTCTCCCTGGGCCTGAGGCCCCTCACAGAAGTCCCCCAGCCCTTGAGGTGGTGGTTGGTCACAGGCTCGGGTCCGGCTGCGCAGGCCACCCCCACAGCTCCGACTACAGCTGGACCAGGGCCCCCAAGGCCCCCAGCCTCCTGCCCCTGGGGGACATCAGAGGAAGGAATCTGGAAGGGCTTGGTGGAGAACCAGGGCAGTTGGAGCACGGTGGCGGTGGGAGGTGTCCACAAGGAYGGGGCATCCTGGGTGGCAGGGGAGGAGTTGGCTACGGCACCAGGCAGGCACTCACGGTCACACCCTGGCAGGAGGCATGGCTCCTCCTCAGCCTCCGGGCCTGGGCAGAGGGGTGTGGGCGTGGCTGGTGAGGGCCCCAGGGCCAGGGTGGAYGGTGCCACGCTAGAGGGCCTGTCACAGAAGCGGTGCCGGTGGCGTCGGGCAGGCCCGCAGGAGGCTGAGCACACACTCCATGGGGTCCAGGGTGACCATGTGGGCTGGCCTTGGGGTGCACAGGATTGGGGAAGGAGAAGGTGAACCGTGCATGCTAGGGGAGCGTGACTACCAGGATGGATGCGCAGCAGCCCCCCATCTCTCCCGAGGGCCCCACAACCCCTGCCGACTCAGCCCAGGCCCTCTGCTGCCGAGGGAAGAGGTGGGGACCCTTTCTCACCCTCCTCACAAGGCCAGGAGGTACAGTTGGTGATGAGCCCAGAGATGCAGGAGCTGCCAGGGGACAGCAGAAGGTCAGGTGGCTTGTGGGCTGCCTAGTGTTCCCCCAGATCCTCAAGCCCATCCCCCAGTACCTATGAATGTGGGCTTACTGGAAGATGGGTCTTTCCAGAGGTCATCAAATTAAAGTGGCCCCTAATTCAGTGTGACTCTAGTCCTTATAGAAGAGGAGATTTGGACATAGGCATGCAGAGAGGGAAGAGACACAGGCAGAGGACAGCCATCTGCAAGTTGAGAAGAGCCAGCCTGCCAGCAGACTACCAGAGGAGAGCCAGGAACAGCTCGCTCACCACCGCCGAAGGCCAGTGCCCAGATGCCCAGACCTTGGACTTTGGCTTCCAGCTCTGTGAGACCACCAGTGTTGTTCCCTAACCCACGTGTGTGTGTGTGTGAGTGCACGCGTGCGTGCGTGCATGCAGGTGTGTGCTACTTTGCTACAGTGACCATAGAAACTAAAACAGGTGGGAATAGAGAAGACAGGTGGGGTGGGTGGATGGAGGGGTTCAGGTTGGTTCGGCCCCACAGGGCTGAATGGCTGTGTGAGTGAGTGCAGTGGGAAGGTGTCTCTGGTCCGTGAAGCCAACATTTCCTGCTGCTGAAGAGGGACAGCTGGGTGCTTAGGTGACAGAAAGCCACTGTGGGAGTGGGGGCCTCACCAGTTCTCACATGGACGAAGCACAGCACTACCCGGCGGGTGGAGGCGCCCCCCGTGGGCACAGGGGCATTCTTGGGCAGGCACACACACATTGTTCTGGAAAGGAACACCCTCTGTCATCTCCAGTTCCAGCCTGCCCCTCTTCGGTCAAAGCCAGCACCCAATTCCTCAGCTCCCCTCAAATGCCACCCATGCTCCTTCTGCAAAGAGCTCTCCCCCAGCCCCTCCTGTCTGGCAGATACAGGCCCTCAGGGGCTGCCAGGGATGGCACATGAACCCCTCTCCCAACTTCTGTTATGGGACCATCATACACCCTTGAAATCGGCTATGAAAATATAAAATATGCAATATGTACAGCAATGGTGTAAAAAAACCCCAAATTTTTACCCCCCCCCAAAAAAAATAACCCATGTAGGGAGTTTGGACAGAAGTGGCTCAAATTTAATAGGAACATTCATCTAGTAGTGCATGATTCAAAGTCCAGCGTGGGAGGTTCGTGGGCCTGGCCTGAGAGGCACTCTTCATCGTGTTCACTCTGGAGGGCACTGAGGCGTGAGAATACTCTGCCTGAGCTCACAGAGCTACTGGCAGAAGAAACTGATTTGGACCCAGAGCCACACAGAACCTGTCCCTTACCCTAACCCACAGTTTGGCAGTGACTGGGAATCCTTTGTTCAAACCCTCCACACCCAGTGGCTTCTCCCAGCTCCCGTTCCCTGCCCTTCCAGACCTATCAACCACTTTACAGGGCCACCTGCTGGTTCAGGCCAGAGCTAACTCATGGACTCAGTGCTCTTTCCTCATCTCTGCAGGATCCATCTCCCTGTCTGCAGTCCCATACCTCTGGCTCTGCCCCTGCCCAGATTTTGACTGTCCCTTGCTTGTTATCCCAGAGTTCCCAGGCCCCGAGGAGGTCCCAGTTGTGACCAGGCAGGGGGTACCCACCAGCAGGTGCATCCCGTGTGGGCAGTAGCAGCCAGGGTGGCAGGTCTGCTTGGTCTCCCTCGGAGCACTGAGTTCTGCACAGGAGGCAGGGCCCTGGGCACAATCCAGCCACAGCTGACCCCTGGGACACACACCAGGGACTGGCCCTGGAGACACAGAAATTGACAGTTCAGCCCGGAGCACTTCATCTTGCCTGGGCTCCCAACCTGGGAGGGGCACTGGGAGTTCTCTGTATGGCTGGGTCGTCATGGAGGCTGCACAGGGCCAAGGGATAGGACTGCAGCGCATGGGACTGACAGTGTCCTGAGTTGGTGGGAACAAGAAATGGAGGGTCCCCAGGGCAGCTCCTCACCTGCGCAGGGCTGCAGGTTGCAGGTAGAGAACACCATGAGGACTCGTGGGCCACTGCCTCGGGTGCGATTCCTGTAGCCGCCACCACAGGGCACAGAGCAGGAAGCCCAGGGACCCCACTCCCCACCAGGACCTGGGGGTGGCACCCAGGTCACTGGAGGCCCTGCCTCCCATGCCCAGTGCACCTCCTCCTCCCACCCAAGGACACCCCTCCCTTCTCAACCCTGAAGCCACTTCACCAGCAGCTGTCTCTGGTCTCAGGAAGCCTATGCCTCTGGGGAGGGAGGGGGCTGAATCCAGGGAGGGTATCTCCTGGGGACCACCTCTTAATGGCATCCCCAAGGAAATTCCCTGCATCTCTCAGGGGCCCTTGAGGATGGTGCAAGTATTGGCTTCTCTTTGGAAGGTTATTTAAGGAGGTCTCAGGATGTAAGTTCCCATTCTCACTTCGACATGGCCGCAGGCTGCAGAATTCAGCCTCCATGTTGGGGCCCTGGCACTCAGCACCCCCAAAGGCAGCGGGGGGTGAAGTGCCTGCCCGGAAGCGCCGTCGTATGCCTACATCACAGCTGCGGCTGCAGAGACTCCATGGGGTCCAAGGACTCCAGCCACAAGCCACTGTCAGGGTGAGGGGGTCACAAGCCATCCTGCACCTTGACTTCCCAAGACACTGCCCCCAGTGACCCCTGAGTACCCATCACTGTATGTGGGTACCTGGACAGAGCTCTGAGGTGCACGCCATCTCTCCAGAGATACAGGTGCTGCAGAGAGAGGGGCCAGTGAGACCCAACCTTGCCCATCCTGACCATAATCAGCCACTGCCCTTGGAGCATTGTGCACCTGCCCCAGGAGGAAGCTGGGCCACCAGGTCCCCCATGAGAAGTTCAGATGTGACTCCAGGTTCTCACGCAGTGGTCCCCCCACTCAAATCCAGCCTCAGTGGGCTCTGGGATGCCCCACGTACTGTGCTGTCCCTTTGTCACATCATTTCATCAGGAGACACCTTTTTGTACTTTTTATTCCATCTACATTTACTAAATACCATTTGGAAATGGCCTTCAGTAATGTGTGACGTAGRAGCAACTCAGAAAGAGAGTTCTCCTAGGAAGGAGTTCTCCTAGGAAGGAGAACTGGACACTTTTCTTCACTGCTAGTTTTCTCCAATGCATGTTTTTTCCCCCAAATTTGGTCCTGGGGATTGTAACCCAAGTGCACTTCACCCAAGTGCACTGAGCTATATTCTCAAACGTTTTTATATATTTAATTTTGAGACAGGGTTTCACTAAGTTCTTGAGGCTGTCCTCAAACTTGTGATCCTCCTCTCTTGACCTCCCTAGTTGCTGAGATTACAGGTGTGCACCATTACGCTGGGCTAAAACGCAGGTTTTAAAGTCCATTGTCAACTACTGTCAACTAAAATCCATTTGTCCAGAAAAAGAGAAAAGGGAGTGTGAAGGAGGAAAAGCAAAGGAGGGAACTGAAAGAGGGGCCAGAGGATAGAAGGGGAAAAGGGAGGAGAAAATGAAGGATGGAGAAAATGAAATGAGAAAGGAAAAGCAGTGGGAAGAGAAATGGGTCAGAGCGCCACCTGCTGGCAGAATCTGGTTTAGCTTTGAGTACTGGGCACTTCTACATTCTGAGCAGGTATCCAGTGGATCCCAGGAAGAGAATTACAGTCAGGAAGAGAGACAGGAAGCTTGGAGGTTAGAAGRTCCTCTCCAGTCTCTAGTTCCACCATCATTGCTGTGCCTATCTGAGAGCCAGTCTTCCCATGTGTCAAATGGGGATGAGCACTCCCTGCAGAGGCAGTGCGTGGCTAGGCAGCATCTCATTCACTAGTCTTCACAGGGCCTGTGCCAGGCACCTATGGCTGGGACATGTTTGGGAATGGAGGCATGATGAGCCCGTGTGCGTATGTGTGTGTGTGTGTGTGTGTGTATGTGTATGTGTGTGTGTGTGTGAGAATCCATTCCTATCTCCCTGCCTACCTCAGGAGCCCGTACCCACCCCTCCTCCCCACCCCCTTCCCCAGCCTGACTGTACCCCCTGCCCAGTGGCCTACCAATTGTTGCAGGAGTCCAGGMGAGCCACTGCTCCTGGTGCATAGAGTTTCCCGTGCAGCTGGCAGGGGCACTGGCTGCGGGGCAGGCAGCTAGCGTTGTGCAGGAAGAGACCAGGTGGGCAGGTGCAGCTGGGGGTGCAGAAGCCTGTGCACTCCACCCCAGAGTCCTGTGCTAGGCACAGCTGAGGACACGGACCCCCATCCTGGTGACACTGCTCTGCTGAGCGGAACACCATGTCCTCTGGACACTGGGCTGTACAGGAAGACAGAGCAGGTCTGGCAGGGGCAAGAGGGAAGGCCAGGGAAGCCAACCGAGAGAGGAACCCACAGGCAGTGACTGGCCTGGTAGGCAGGACTGAGCTGAAGAAGCCCCTACCCCCCTGCCCTCACTGGCTTGTTCCAGTGCCTGGAATGTCACCAGTAGAGTCACAGCTTTGCTTCACTTTATACAAATATTCTTGAGAGTAGAACATGAAGGCAATGGTGTCTGCCAGGAGGAGGACTCAAAGAGCCGGGGAGAGTGAGGAAGGRGGCCCAGGAGTCCAGGGGCTAGCCTTGCTCCCTGAAATCTGCCTGGGAGTGGCAGGCTGGTCTGACTTCCTGGAGGAGCCTGTCCTCCTAGGCCACTTCCAGGGGAGGAGCTCTGTCCCTAGCAGGAAGGAACAAGAAGCCTGTAGGAACCTGGTCCCCAGCAGGTGGGGGAGGGAGGGGACTGGAGGGGATAGTGGACATCCCGTAGTCTCCCTGGCTCAAGGCACCTCGTCCTGAAGACAGAGTTCAGTGATATGAGAAGGTGAGGTGGGGAGACGATCCGAATCCCAGCARTGTGGCCAGCTGGAGGATGGGGAGGAACCTACCTGCGCAGGGCTGTGTGTTGCAGTCCCTGGTCTGGCTGTGGGGTCCCCGACATGCGGGATTTCCAGGAGCCGAGCCAGAGCAGCTGCGTCCACGTATCTGGATGCCTCCATTGCAGGGGGCTGAGCAGGCAGACCAGGAAGCCCACGCACCCCAGCTGCTCGGTGCTGTCCAGGGTCAAGTCCACAGTCGCAGACATGGCACAGATGTGGATAGGGGAGGGGTTGAGAGAGGTCAGAGTCCTGGGTCATGCAGGTCCCTCTTCTAGGACAGTCCCAAACATATTACTCATGTGCTGGCTCATGGGTGTACGGCTGGGGCAGGGAGGGGTTTCAGAACAGCCAGGGTTCCTCCATTCCCTCTGCTCCTTCATCTCCCTAAGGCTTGGGACCTACTCAAGGGTCATTATTTCCTGATCCTCATCCACCCAAGTGTCTGGACACAGGAGCAGTGGGGCTGTACCTGGGCATACAGGGGGGCTGCAAGGCTCCTCCTGGGTGGCCTCTCCTGGGCAGGAGGTATCCCTGAGGCCGGGGCAGAGTCGGGAACGATGTCTCCAGCCAGGGACTCCTCCAGGGACAAGGCAGCTCTGGGAGCAGGAGGACCAAGATGTCCAGGGTGTCCAGCCCAGCACCTCTGCAGAGGGACACAGGACAGGCCAACATAGAGGACCTGGTTGGGCTCAGAAGAGTCGATGAACTCAGGTCAGGTCTGAGAAGCAGAAGGCCAGGACAGAGTTCATGAGCATGAGGGATTCTGCTCCGGGCTCAGGGCATGGCCTCTGTCCCCTCCCAGCTGGCTTGGATCTCCACTCTGAGCCCGACTTCTCACTCGTGGGAGCCAGGAACAAAGCTCCCCACTGAGGCTGGCCTCAGCTCCATACCCACACCTACATACCCACGGTCCAGCCAACCTCTGACATGATCATCACTCATCCTCATACTTCTCCTAGAGCAGTTCTTCCAGATTTTTCTATGAGTCTCTGAACACCTGACCTCTCTTTTCCTCCTGCTGCAAGACTGTGGCCCAGAACCCTTGGACTCATGTTTCAGCCTCCTCCCTTGCCCCTCCTCCTTGGGCTGACCCTGGCTCTCCTCCCCGTTCCGTCTGGATACCAGTGAGGGCTGGCCTGCTCTCTAGAGGCCTCACTAGTGCTGGCACAGCTTGAGGGTACCTCGTCTGTGGAAAGAGGGAACCGTTTGCACCTCTCTGTCTCTGTGCTCCTGCGTCCCTCCTCCAGCCAGCCTGGCCAGCCTCACCTCCTTCCTGGCTCTGCAGACGCGTGCTCCACCTGGCCAGCCTGCTCCGTCAAGGCAGCCCGTCAAGGCAGCCCGTAACTCACCCCCACCAAGCCCATCCCCCCAGGCCAGTTCCAGGGCTGCCTCCGGCACTGGGGAGGCTTTGCTGATCCCTATCCAGAGTGTCAGTGGGTCCCATCCTCTGTGTTCACAAGGACGAGGGGCAGGCTCTGTAGTACCTGTCCCACAATCCACGTGGCAGACCTGCAGTTCCTGCTTGTCCCCTTCACAGGGGGCACCTCCAAAAGCCGCAGGAGGGTTGGAGGGAGACCTGGGAGAGAGGACATCCTGAGTGCCTGTCCCCCTGCTGCTGCCTTCCTGTCCTTCCTCCTTCCACTACCCTCCCCACCAGGCCTGCCTGGCTCTGAGCCTCTTCCCCTCTCTCCCCCGTTTCCTTCCTCCTCACGCACCTGAACCTGGCCCTCACTCCAGAGCCACAGGAGCGGTCGCAGGGAGTCCAGGAGGACCAGGCCGACCAGCCGCAGGGCTGAGGGCAGGCCCCTGGCTCGCACACCAGAGTGCCCCTCTCACATATGCTGCAGGGAAGGAGAGGGGGGAGCTGGTTGGCACTGGGGGCCCTGCCCGGGGCCCCGCCCCGGCCCAGCACCCTCACCATTGGCTGCAGTTGTCCAGGAGGAAGGACATCCCTGGAGGCTTCAGCTCTTCACCCACAAGGCAGGGGCACTCAGAGAGGGGCAGGCAGTGAGAGTCATGGAGGAGGAGCCCCGGGGGACAGCGGCATCCTGGAAGCGAGGGAGAGGAGGGCCCTCAGCTCCATGGGGTCAGCAGGGAGGCGGGCTAGAGACTGGAGGCTGGTGGGCTTCTGCCGGCTGGGTCTACCTTACCCTCCACACAGGGCCCAGTGCAGCTGCCGTTGGTCTCGGGATCCAGGCAGGAGGGTGGGCATGGGGGCACCAGCCCCTTCTGGCACAGCTCAGCATTCACATGCACACGGCCCAGCCCGCAATCTAGGGGACGAGCCTCAGGTGGGATGAGCACTGAGAGGCCCAGAGACCTGCCCACACTCCCTGCAGGACACCTCTCCCAGCCTAGCTCCCCCTTACCTGTGTCCCCAGTGCAGGGCTGCAAGCCACAGGGGGCCCTTTCCCGGGAGGCCCCAGGACAGGGTGCACCGCCGTTCTTGGGTGGTGGGTCCATGCAGCTCCTCTGGCGACTCTGATGGCCGCCCCCACAGGAGACACTGCAAGGTCCCCAGCTCTCCCACTCCGCCCATGCCCCAGCCACTGCAGGGAAGGAAGAATGGGGGGTCCCAAGGAGACAAAGACTGTACTAAAGAGAGGAGGCAGGCAGAGCAGAGGCGCCCGCCCCGGCTCGGTGGTGCTCTGGGAGGTCTGTAGCTTCCTCTGTCCCAGGAACAGTCCCCATAGGTGAGGACACTAGGTTCCTCCCAGGACAATAGGGGTAGTCTCTGAGAAGGCCCCGATGGCCCGAACCCTGGAGTGGGGCGCACCAGAGCGAGGGCTGGGACCAGATGTGGGGCTGAGACCCTATGTGGGAATCCCCTCTCTGGAACAAGCAGAAGAGCCAGGGGCACGGGGACCAGTCCCTCAGATTCATGGAACAAAAGGGCTACACGGCCTTCTGTGTGGAGCCCAGGGGTGAGGGGCACAGCCAGCTGACATCTGTGGTCCGGTGCCAAATCCCACCTCATGTGGCCTCTCTACCCCCCCACAGAGCCTGCTGGGGGCAGGAATGGCTCTGGGTGACAGGACTCACTTGGGCCACTAGGAGGCAAGGCGGGAGGGGCCAGGGAGCAGGTTTCCCTTTAGGGGCTAAAGGCTGTCGTCAGGGGGACATCACACTCTTAGAGTCCCAGAGATGGGGGGATGGACACTGGGGTCCCAAGGAGAGCAGAGGCACATCCTGATGAGGATCTCAGATGGGAACCAACTCAGGCCTCCCCCTCTAACAATCCCCTCTTCCGTCTCGGCTGCTGCCGACCTACCTGGGCAGGCCTGCACAAAGCAGGGCTGGCTGCGGAGCTGGTCCAGGGGGCAGCTGCCCCCAGGCAGGGGAGGCCGCAGCAGCTCCCGGCGCTGGAAGGTGAGGCCCAGGCCACAGCTGTGGCTGCAGCCACTCCAGCCAGACCAGGGTGCCAGCACACAGTCCACTGCAGGGGACAGATGCCTAGGGATCAGAGGGGGCTCACGCAGGAGTGGGGCCTCCGGTTAGAGCCTGACCCAGCTTGCTCTTACCACAGCCATCCTCGTCCGAGCCATCCTGGCAGTCGGGCCGCAGGTCACAGCGACGCTCAGTGGGCAGGCACTCCCCGCTGCCACAGCTCAGCTGGCTCTGGGAGCAGAGAGTCCTGGAGGCTGGCAGTCCAGGCAGGACTGTGGTGGGCACCATGAAGGGTATAGGACTGGCTGCCCATGAAACACAGATAGAGGAGAAGGGAGCCACATAAGTGATTCCAGGCCAGATGATAAACAGCCCCTTCAGCCTCAGGCCAAGAGCAGGATAGAACTCGCTGACCAGGGCCCTGGACTCCYTTCCTCCAGATGCCTCCTGCAGCCCGCACCTGAGGCAGGCTTCCTTCCACCATGTGTGGGTGAGGTCTACATGGGCCTGTGTACAGGGCTAGCCTACTCGTCAAAGGCTCATGGGAGTGTCCAGGGAGCGGTCACAGCACCTGAGAGAGCAGTTCACTCCCTGTTATATTGTCCCCCAAAGGCCCACGTGTGGAAGGTCAGAGGTGGGGCCTCTGGAAGGTGATTGGATCATGAGGCTCTGACCGCATCCGTGGATTAATCCACTGGTGGGTTCATGACTGATGGCCTAGTGAGAGGTGGTGGACACTTCAGGAGGGGGTGCCGGCTGGGGGAGAAGGTTGCTGGGGGTGTGCCTGGACAGCTATATTTTGTCTCCAACCTCTCTCCCTCCCTCCTTCCCTCCCTGTGCTTCATGGCTGCCATGTTGTGATGAGATTTCCTCTGCCATGATGCTTCTGCCTTGGAGCCAGTTGACCAATGAACAGAAATCCCTGAAACCTTAGCCAAAAGAAGTCTTTCCTCCTTAAGTGTATTTTTACAGCAATGAGAAGCTGATTAACACAGGCTCTGTGTTCTGGAATGGTGACTCCCAGGGGTGCCCCCTCCTGTGATGGATTAGCACTTGATTTTTCTTTTCCTGATGGAAGAGCAGGTTTTGATCATAGTGATTACTTTGATGGCTGGCTGGAGGGTGGGAGGGTGGTTGAATGGGTGGGTACATAGATGAGTGGATATGTGGATAGATGGGTAGATGAGTGTCCTTAAAGGTCCAACAGATTTTATAAAACAGGGTGGGACTCAAGCTCTACCCTATTCCCTCTCTTTGCCATTTCTACAGAGGTTCACCTTCCTGGATTTTTCATATTCAGTTCCTCTCCTCTCTTGCTGCCCCCTGCTCTCTTAGATCCTCCCACATGACTGGAAATAGGCACAGTGTCTCCTCAAGTCTGAAGCCCTCTGGTGGTCCCAGGCCTTGGCTCACCGCAGTGCCGCTCGTCATCGCCGTCCAGGCAGTCCTCCTTCCCATCACACAGCTGCTCCGGCTCCACGCAGCCCAGCACCTGGCAGGGCAGCTGCCCGGGGCTGCATCGCACGGGCGGGAAGGGGCTGGGGGCAACTCTCTGGCCTGTGGATGCCACCATAGCCAGCTGAGGAGGGACCTCGTGGCCCTGTGCTTCCTCCCTGATCACCTCTTAGCAGTCCCCAACCTTCCTCCTCTTGGCATCTGGGGTGCCCCACTTTCCGCCTCTCTTGGCATAAAAGGAAGGGAATGAATGGGGTCAGGAAACTTGGGTCATAGGCCTGGTTCTACCAAAATGACCTTGATCCATGTGATTTTGAGCAAAGCGACCAACCTCCCAGGGCTTGTGCCCCTTCATGGGGAAGTGGGGCTCACAACAGGCTTTGCGCCCAGGTAGAAGAGCTCAGAGCTTACCAGCAGGGGTCATCGGAATCATGGGGTGTGTGGGGAGCACTGTTGTGGCTGCCATTCCCGGTGTCAGGCTCTGAAACCCAGCATGCAATGTGGGAGTGTTGCTCCCCGTCTGCATGGATTCCCCAGAACTTGGGTGAGGAGCTTTGGAGGCGGGGGCAGGGCTCACTGGCCTCTTCTCTGTGGGCAGAGGGGAGAAGGAATGAGGGCTGCCTAATTCCCCTTCCTGTGAGAGGACCCATGAGAGGGTGTCCCAGGCTTCTGCGTGGTGCAGGGTAATCACAGGGGCCACAGACCATTCCCTACCTTCCAAGGGGCCTCAGATTAAAAGAGAAAAGAAAGTAAAGCAGCTCTTGGTAGTCCAAAGAGCATGAGAAGGGTTTTAAGTGAAAGTAGAAGAAAACTTAGTTTTGATCTGAGGTTTGTACTCTAGTCACAGGAGACACTTGTGGTGCCAGGTTTGGTGGCACATGCCTGTAATCCCAGCAACTCGGGAGGCTGAGGCAGGATGATCACAAATTCAACCTCAGCGACTTAGTGAGGCCCTAAGCAACTCAGCTGTCTCTAAATAAAATACAAAAAAAAGGGGGGGTGGGGCTAGGGTTGTGGTTCAGTGGTTAAGTGCCCCTGGGTTCAATCCCTGGATACCCACTCCCCCCCCCCAAAAAAAAAAGACACTTGTGGCAACTTTCAAGTTCAAACTCATTATAAGATAGGTCATTTAGGGGAGAAAAAGAACCGAGGTCATTTAAACACAGCAGCAGAACAAGAGAACACTAGCGAGACTCAAGATGAGCCCATTGCTACTGCTGTACAAAAACCAAACAAACTAGTTTTGACTTTGAGGCACTACAGTGAAGAGTGTTGAGAGACTCATTTTCTTTGCAAGAGATTCATCTTCAAAGACAGGCTTTTTTCAAGAACAGACTTAGAATGAGACTAGAATTCATCCCATGAGTACAGGTTTGTGGATTTGAGGGGTCTTCATCTGCTTTTCACAAAAGACACAGCCATGGGCCAGCTGGCCTTGTGGACAGCTGTCATCAGAACGCCTTGAGGGGCTCAGAGGTTGCCACCAGGCCCGACGGTCCCACAGGAGAGGAAGCCAAGGCTTAGGCAGGCGGCACAGTGTGCCCAAGGTCTGCCCRGGAGCAGGAGAGCCAGGATATGCCTGCTGACTGACAGCCGAGCATCCCCTCCTCCCTTCAGAGGAGGGCCTCCGGGGACCACAGTGCTGGGGAGTGGTCAGTAGCTCTGGGGAGGCTGGCACATGACCAGGCTGGGACCCCATCCTTTCCTGTTTAGGAACATGCCAACCTGGTGACCCTGCCCACTCTCAAGCCCATTTATGAGTATTTCCTGTCAGCAAACACTTTAGAAAAGTGCCTGGCTCTTCAAGTGGGTGAGCAGAGGGTGTCCAAGCCAAGTGGCCTCCCACTCCCAAAGAGGAGACCTATCCCGGCCAGAGCCTGAGGGAGGTGGTCACACTGCAGGTGGTCCAGGTGCAGCCCTAAAAGCTGGCTTGGAATCTTCCCTTGAATCCAGGAGGGTGAGCAGGGCAGGACCTGGCTATGACCAAGGTGACCAGTGTTTCCCTGAGTCAACCCTGCAGCTATCTCGGTTTTGGGGATAAAGTCAGGGGTCAGGGCACTTGAACCTCGGAGACATCACCACCCCTATCTCTGGAAGGGCAGACACAGATGGTGACAGGGGCATGGGGAGGGAGAATGGAGTTGGCACACATACCTGTGGGGGGCATGGACGAACCCTGCTTGGGATGCCAGCGGTCAGTCTCTGCCAGACCCTGAGAAGGAGAGGGCTCAGCCACCTCGTGCAGTCAGCAAGAAAGGACCCTCTTCTCCACCCATGCCCCTTGTTTCAAGCCTTGTCCAGGATGCCTCTGGGGACACCTTGGCACAATGCTCCTCCAGGCTCCCAGAGAAGATGCCCTGGCACTGCCCCATGAGCACAGCCTCCCCTCCAGGGGCCTGGGTCTGTTGTCTCCAAATTCCTCCAGGACAGAGCCCTTCCCTGTGCTTCTCTGCACTTTCCTCTGCTCCCCACCTGGCACTGAGCTGGTGGTCCCCAGAACGCTCCTGACTAAAAGCCTGACAGAGCAGCACCAAGGAAGACAAGTAGAGGAAATGCTGAATGGATGGAGAGAGAGGAAGACGCAGGTGCAGGAGCAGTGCTGGGGGCGCAGAGAGGCCGCCCCCATCCTTGCAGCCCACCTGCTGGGTCTGCAGCTTCCCACTCACCTCACTAGGCTGGGGAGGCAGTGGTCCCGGCTGGGTGGAGAAAGTTGGGGTCCTGGCTGTGGAATGGCCTCTGAGAAGAAAAATCACAGAGGGAGCTCCAGGGGCTCTCCCAGCCGGAGCACCCCCCACAACCAGGAGGAGTCAGGGGTCTCTGGGCGAGGCCTGGGCATTCAGGAAGGATGCTGCCTGCTGAGTGGTGCTCAGTTTGCTGTGTTGAATCACCAGGAGGACTGTAAAGCACACATCTCTGGGTCCACCCCGAGAATCTGCCTGTCTCACAAGTTTTGGGTGCTGCTGGCCCAAGGGCCATATTTGAGAACCACTGAAGACCAGACTAGGAGAGGTCTAGAACCTKAGAGACCGTGGGGAAAGGGCCTCAGGGTGCCTAGATTCAGCTCCTGGCATGGAGGGTCTGTGGGCCCCTGGGTGGAAGGAAATGCAGGGCTGTCCCTCCAAGTCCAGGCCAGACCCCAGGATACCTGCCAGTGTCCACAGGCAGGGGCCCACAGCCCTCCTCGTCAGAGCCATCCTCACAGTCTGCAGCACCGTCACATGGCACCCCCGGCAGAGCACAGTCACCATTGGCACAGCGGTGCCCAGCCCCTGGGCACGGGGGCACTGGTGGGGACACTGTGGGTAGGGGGGTGTGGTGAGGACTTCCGCCACCCTCCTGCTCCCTCCTGGTCCTCCCGCTCGCAGCCCAGCCTGTACCTGGCTCACAGCCCAGGAGCTCCACCCACAGGAAGAAGCCAGGCTGCCTGTCGCTGTGGGGGACACTGTGTGGCCACACCCTGATGTACCTTGCCTGCACCATCCGGCTGAAGGCCCACACCTTGGAGGCCACATCTTCCCAGTTCCTGGGGAAAGACTGAAGCACAAGGTGCCTGCTGACCGAGTCCTGCCTCTTGCTCAGGCTGCCGCTGTGGCCCTACTGAGTGACCCTCCTCTCTGCTCAATCTTCACAAGAATCCTGCCTCTGCCAGAGCCCATGTCCCCCTGGTGGTAGCCACCTAGTCCCTCAAGGCTGCAGGGGGTCTGGTCCTGGCCTAAGCTCCTCCCACTGAGGTGGCAGGATTCTAACGGCAGGGCCAGGTCCCACTCAGAGCTGTGACCACAGGGACAGCCCAGCACCGGGCACAGAGCAGGTACTCCTTAAACAGGTCAGAGGGAACACCTGTGGACTGGTCCTTCCTGGTCGTGGGCCTGTCTCCAGGCGGCGGAGCCAATCCCGCAACGAGGGCCGCACTCGGGCTGCTCCATATGGACACACGTGGGTCTGGGCCTCCAAGGCCCTCTGTGAGTTTAATGTGTCCCCACCTTCCCCCTTCCCAGGCTGCTGGAGAGCTCTGTGTTCCTGGACTTGGACTCGACAGTGACACTCCGCCCCTCTATTCCACAGAATAGAGTCCCTATTACTTACCAGTTATTCCTTAAGCAACTAATGCAAGGACTGTCCCTTGGGGAGACCGAAAGGCCCAGGAGTACAGAGGTTGTGGAATCCACAAAGGGGCATGTTGGGTCACTGGCCTGAGAGGCCTTGGGCATTGAGTACCTTGGGTGGGGACAAGGTGCCAGGCAGGATGTCACGGTAGTCCTGCCAGTGGAGACCATCAGTGCCGAACTGAAGCGAGAAGCTGCTGCCAGGTGGGCTGGAGGAGGTGGGCCCCCACACGATGACGCCTGGAGGGGCCGGGCCAAGGGCGGAGTCAGAGCTGAAGGAGGCAGCCCCCCCCCACGTCCTCCCCCACCCCCTCCTCCTCACTGACCAGTGAGGTTCCGGGGCTGGAGCAGGTCCAGCTGCAGGAAGGGTGGCCCGCTGTGCCACTCAGCATAAGCACCCGCTCTGGGGCCAGGCCCTTTGGTGGGAGCCCCCAGGAGGGCAGCCCAGGTGGGGGGCTCCAGCTGCCTTGACCATGTCCACAGACTCCCCGGGGGCAGAGCCAGGCCCAGGGGAGAGTAGCAGGCATCTGGGGACAGGAGGGGAGGTTGGGGGGGCAGGAGGGGGTGCCAGAGGCATGCCATGAAGGGATCTGGGGAAGAAAAGGGCCACACAGGCGACCCTGACCCAGGACAGGGGGCAGGAAGGGCAGAGCTGGAGATGGGCCACGTCCTCAGCACTCCCAGTGGTCTGCTTCCCTCCCAGGGCACCCCTCTCAGCTGGGTCCTTACCTCCTGGGGGAGGCAGAACATAGGTGACCAGAGGGGGACCCATCTGGGGACTGGGGGCTGGAGCAGGGGCAGGAGTGGCTGTTGGAGGCACTGTCTGATTCTCTGCTGTGTAGGGAGACCCAAGGGTCAGGAGGAAGAGACCCAGAGAGGCTCTCGCCAGCCCTCGCCAGCAAGGTCCTTCCCATTTGGAGCACTTTCTCTCCCATGACAGCACAGCAATCCCAGGACCACCCCAGCGGGGAAGGACACCTCTTTCCCTTTGTATGAATGAAGGTTTTACATATTTCCACTGAATATTCAGAGCACACAGAATAAAACTGCCAGTGCAAAGCCACTTTAGGACTAGGAGAGCAGGTGCAATTGCTAACCCAGGACTACTGTCATTAATTACAACCTTGTGGGCATTAGAAAGGGGCTGCCTCTGGATGGAAGCAGTCCTGGGGCTGGAGTCTAATCCCCACTGCTGGCAAAAATTGTCCAGTGAACAACATGTACAACCGTGTGTGCACTGGCTTGATCCCAACCTCATCAGCCGATAGGTACACTTTTAGAATAAAGAGGCTGAACCATCCCCAATTCCCTCTTAAAGTCCTCCTCCCCTTGCCCTTTCTGCTACTACCCAGACCCACTCACCAGGCAGGGCACAGTGGCAACACGATTCTCCTACTCCCTCCACCAGGATCCAACCCTGTAGAGCACAGAAATTAGCCACTTGCCCACCTCTAACCCACTCCATTGGCCTCCACAAGCTTAGCCTCGCACCACCCCTCCAGGCTCCCAGGGCCTCACCTGGGGACAGCTGCCCAGCGGGCAATAGGGGGAGCAGTGCACGGTGCCCGTATGCAGACACTGGCATACCCGGCAGGGACCCCCACGCCAGCGCTCCCCGACCTGGTGTGTGTGGCCCTGCTGCTCGCAGCCCTCACAAGGCTGCGTCTGGCACCTGGGGAGGAAGGGCAGCCTCAGCATGGGGAGGGCTCACTAACAGTGATCACCCTCCTGGTTTGCCTGGATTGAGGGTATTTCAGGACTGGGGACTTCAAGTGATAAGACTGGAAAAATCCAGGGTTAATGTCTGGTCATCACCTGGAACCCCATCCCACTCCTGAATTCCAGAAATTGCAACAGGCCCCAAGTTGGGGAAGCAATTTGTGCCAGCTCCACCAGCCAGCAGAGCTGGTCCCAGCAGGGTGTGCAGGCGGAAATGGCTGTCCCCCAAGAGCTTCACCCCGCACACCTCCAGAGACTCAGGGGACCCATTCCCACTCCTGCGTTTGTCGAGCTGCACGTGTGGGCTCCGTTGGCCCTGCTTTGGATCTAGATGGCACAGCACTAAAGGAGGAGAAGGCTGGGTCTCCAGGGGGTTCTGGGGTTTAGGCTGGGAGGGCACTGAGCAGTGTTGTGATTGGGGGCTCTCGTGGGAAGGGGCATGCAGGAAGAGCGAGCGTGAAGGCGAGGGCAAGGGCCCTGCTGGTACCTGCGAGCCTTGCGGTGGATGCCTCGGCACTGGCCACCTCGGCCGGAGAGGCGGGGGTTGTTGGGGCTCCGGAAGGACCACTGGATGCTCTGGCTCCCACAGGGGCCCAGGCACTCGGCCCAGGGGGACCAGGAGGACCAGCCACAGTTTACTGAGAGAGGGCAAGAATTAGGGCCAGGAGGCAGAGGTGAGTGCCCAGCTGGGTAGCCTGGGAGGAGACAAGGGACCTTGAGAGCAGGGCCACAGGATGCGGGGTACTCACTGGCACAGTCTGGGTTGGGCCGGCAGCGCCGGGGCCGCCCATCTTGGCAGACACAGAGCTGGCAGTTGGCTTTGATATGCTGCCCAGGCCAGTAGCGGGCACCATCCACCAGGCAGGGGCACTGCCGGGGCCACACACACTGCCCCTCACTGCCCAGCACCTGCCCTTCTGGGCACCAACAGCCTAGGGAAGAAGCAGGGTGAGGTTTCCAGGCAGACAGTGTGGCCTCCACAGACCCCGATCCCGGAGGCCCCTCACCTGGGCTGCTGCAGGGCCTGTGGGGTGAGCAGATAGCCTGGCCAGAGATGTCATCGCAGGTCAGAGGGCAGGGGGCACAAGGCTGGAACACCAGCTCCCCAGAGCAGGTGGCATTGGGACAGCCATCCTGAGGGCAGGGCTCTGAGAGTGGGGTCAGAGACTGGGGAGGGAGGAACAGCAGCAAGGACAAGTGTCCCCCCAGCAACCCCACCCCCCCACCTGTGCCCTCTGCCTTCCACTCACCAGTCTGACGGGTGCTATGAGGGCCCCCGGGCAGAAGGGCACAGGCTTGGCCCCCATTCTGGGGTGGGTGGCACTGCCGCTGCCTCATCCTGGTGCCCCCACAAGGCTCAGAGCACAGAGACCAGGAGGACCAGGAGCTCCATTCACCATCCACTGTGAGGGGAGGGATGGGGCGGGAGGGGGTGGGAGTGCAAGGCAGGGTTGAAGGCCCCAGGACCTTTCCTTTCTCCTCTCTCCAGGCCCCACTGTCCCACAGTCGCTCCCTTGTGTTCCCAGCCCCTTACCTGGGCAGGCCTTGGTAAAGCAGGCCTGTGACTGGTGGGCGGGGCCTGGGCAGTGCTGCAGCACCAACAGCCCGGATGGGGAACAGCTGCGGCTTTGGCTCTGCACCCCCAGCCCACAGGTCTGGCTGCACGGCCCCCATGGGCTCCAGGGACCCCAGGTCCCACAGCCCTGTTCTTCTGGGGAGAGTCCTGCCTCTCCTACCAACTCACAGTTGGGCTGCCCATCACACACCTGTGGGAGCAGCAGGCTCAGGGCTTCTGCATTGGTGCACGGCTCTGCCTGCCACCTCCCCTTCCTGACCCTCACCAGGTGAAAACCAAGGCAGTCGCCATTGGGGCAGGAGTATTCTGGGCAGGGAAATTCTGTCCTGTTGAGACTTCCTGGGGTTGGCAGTCCCTCTGGGGAGCAAGAGAGAAAACCAGTTTGCAGGGAGTTGCAGCTACTTCTGGGCAAGCACCAGCTGCAGACCCCTGAGAAGTGTTCATACCACAGTCCAGCTCATCCTCGCCCTGGGGACAGTCGGGGACCCCATTGCAGTGCTGCTCAGGGTTCAGGCACAGCCAGGGAGCCAAACCACAGGGCCAGAGGCCATGGCACAGGGGAGGCTGGGTGGAACCTGTGGGCACAGTAAGAAGGGTCCTGCTGTGCTCCTGTCCCCTCCTACTCCCTCTCTGCAGAAGGGCTGGCAGCGAGGGCCTGAAGGCACTGGGGGAGGAGGGCAGGCAGGAGGCAGAGCCAGCATGGGGCTCTCCTTGGCCCCAGAAACCCTTGGAGGAGTGTAGGAGGGGTGGATTCTGGGGAATCCTCCCAGGGGAAGTGGCCAGGACCAGAAAGACCAACTTGTCAGGGCTTACAGGGGTTCAACCCAGGTGGGATGGGGAGAAAATGGGGACAGGGGAGCCCCACGGACAGACCCACTCCCTAGGCCCTCAAAGCCAACACCCACTCTCTTGTCCTTTCTTGTCCCTAACCAAAAGCCCCTTCCTTCTCCACTGGGCCTGGGAAGGAGGGCAAAGAAAGTTTCATTAAAAAGATCAAAGGGCGGGTCTCGCTGATCACGCCTGTAATCCCAGCCTTTCAGAGCATGCTCAGAGCCAACCTCAGCCACTTTACAAAGCCCTAAGCAACTCAGTGAGACCCTGTCTCTAAATAAAATACAAAAAAAAAAAAAGGGGGGGGGGGATGTGGCTCAGTGACTAAGTGTCCTGGATTCAATCCCTGGTACAAAAAAAAAAAAAATCAAAGGAACACAAAAGTTGCTCAGACTGATGTCTGCAAACCTAAGTCACTGTCTAGCTGTGCGCAGGGGGTGCTTGGGGAGGGCCGCGCAGGATAGGAGCGACTCTCACCGCAGGCGTCTGGGTCCTCGTCAGAGCCGTCGGGGCACTGCGGCACGCCGTCGCACAGTTCCCCGGGGGACACGCAGTGTGGGCCGCGGGCGCAGGGCGCGTGGTGCAGCGCGCAGGGCCCACCGCAGCCCAGCTCGTCGCTGCCATCGGCGCAGTCCTCCTCCTGGTCGCAGCGCCAGCCCCGTGGAGTGCACTCGCCGCTGCCGCACGGAAACTCCAAGGGGCCGCAGCTCCGTGCTGGTTGGGGTGGGGGTGGGGGGCTGCATTAGACCCCGCGGGAGTGGACCGGCTTCCGCAGGCGGGTCTCGCCCTCCCACAGCGGCTCCTGGCTCACCTCCTGGCTCCTGGCTCACCTCCTGGCTCCAGGCTCCAGTCGTCCTGCCCCTTACCTGAGCCAGCCCTCCCCACCTTCAGTCCCTCCTGGAGTCTAACCCACCCCTGTATTCTTTTGCCCTATTGGTGTCCCCAAATTTCTCCCTGGTTCAAGAACTTCCTTTAGATTCCCCTAACTCAGAGAAGGCCTTGGGTACAGAAAATGAGGCTGGACCTCAGTTCCCCTCAAATGCCCTCCACCTCTTTTGTCTCCATCCCCAAAGCACCACCCACATGCCTTCCTCTGTGGTCCCATCCCCATCCTCCCCAGTTTTCTCACCCCATCTTCTCCAGGAGACTCACCAGGGCTGGCACTGCCCAGTGGACTTGAGGCACCTTCCAGGGAGCCAGTAGAGGGGCCAGGCATGGTGCCAGCTGGGGGCACAGGCAGAGAGGGCAGCGGGCAGTATCCAGGCCCCTCGTCGGCTCCATCTGGGCAGTCCCAAACTCCATCACACAGCTGGATGGTCCCCACACAAGTGCTGTCCATACAGGACACTTCCCCAGGGATGCAGTTCACCTGCCCTGCAGCCAGAAAGGAGGAGCTGGTCCCAGAACACTGCCTCCTTTTCTCACTACTTGGGGTGCCCCCACTCACAGGTGCCAGCTTCACAGGCAATATATAACCTGGCAAAGAAGTGGGCGGGCGAGGCTGGGGCAACCAGGAGCTGGGCCTGGTAGGAGAGCGTGCCTGGTGGGCCCAAGTCCAGAGCAGAAACAACTAACCCAAACAGGACTCCTCATCAGCGGCGTCTGGACAGTCGGGATGCCCATCACACAGCAGGGTGAGGGGCAGGCAGCTCCCATCAGCACAGGCCAGCGAGTCATAGGGACATGGGCAGCCCTGTTCATCTGTGCCATCTCCACAGTCATCCTGCCCATCACAGAGCAGGGACAGGGGCAGACAGTGGCCGGAGCGGCATGACATCTGTCCCTCCACACAGCCTGGGGTGGCGCAACCTGGCATAGGGTAAGCAGGCAGGCTCAGGACGCTGGAGTCAGAGAAACCCATAACCCTAGAAGGACCAGAACTCCCTACCTGTCCCTCATTCCCCAAGTCATAACTGCTGGCCGTGGAAGCAGCAGCTCCGGAGGCTACCCTGGGGACACCTGCTGCACACCCAGTGAACTCAGTTACCTGTGCCTGTCACACAGGTGAAAGCACTCACCCTCCTCATCTGAGCCATCGCCACAGTCGTCCTGGTTGTCACAAAGCCACTCATGTGGAATACAGTGCCCACTTCCCTGGCAGGGGGACTCTCCTTCGGCACAGTCAGGCACCAGCTCCTCACAGGGGGCACTGTCACCCCCACAATGCCACTGGCTTTCCCGGCAAGTGCTGAATATGGTATCCTGGGATCAGCCACGGCTGGGCGTGGCCAGTCCAGGGGCACAGGGTCTACCCAGGTACTCCCCACTCACCAGTTCCCACAGTCCTTCTGCAGCACAGTCCCTGGTGGGAAGAAGCTGCCACCCCACTCACAGGGACAGGCAGATGGCTCCATGCAGATTCCTCCTGAGATCACAGAGCACAGGACTCCAGAGTGAAGGGGGCACAGTGCTCCTGGCCCAGCCCACCACCATGGTCACATGGCCCTTTCCAATCACACAGCTGGATGGTCCCCACACAAATGCCATCCATGCAGGACACTTCCCCAGGGATGTCCCCTCCCCTCTGGCCTTTCTGACTACGCACCATGCAGCAGAGTCCCTTCGGGGCAAAAGCAGCCCTCCACACAGGCAATGGCCCGGCAGTGCCATCCAGGCTCAGCATCGTGGGTAGGGCAGGCCGGRGGACAGGTGGGGCCACAGGCCTCATATACTTGTCCCCCTTCACACTGTAGGGCTGGGTGGAGGGAGAGAGGATCAGCTCACTCAGGTACAAGGGCACCAGGTGAGTCAGCCCAAGGTGACACCTATGGAGGGCACAGAGTTCATATTGTAGACCTTGGCTGAGACCCTCCCAAGGTGATGTGGGACACATCGGCCCTGTGGGACAGACATTCTTGCATGTTTGGTTCATCTGGAAGGGTCTGGCACACGGTAAGCGTGTAGCACATGTTTGAACTTCTGACTAAGTGTCCAGCTGGCGGGGCAGGCTAAGCACCGTTCAAGGGCCATGCAGGTGACAAGTCTGAGAGTTGGGAACACTCACGGCAGAGCTCCTGGCTGCGCCAGCGCACATGGTGCCCATGCCGGGCGCACTCGTCTGCGTAGGCGGCAATGGCAGAGCACAGGCACTCACAGTCGCCCCCTGAATCGCAGCTGTGGGAGGAAGCAGTTGGCTCAGCAGCCCCGCGCTGCCCCCACACACTCACTGCCCCCCACTCGGGCCAGCCTTCCTCACCCACAGGTGTCGTACACACACCACTCGTAGTGCTGCTGTGGGGGCACCTCTGTGTGGCATGGGACGAAGAGCTGCTGGAGCATCACTCCGCAGCGGGCACGGGCCCAGGCTGCGCGGTGTGTGTTTACCTGCAGCACAGGCACCATCTCCAGCACCCTGGGCCAACTAGACACCTGCCCCAGCCCCAAGCTCTGGCAGGCCCACCATCCCTCCCGCTGTCTGCCTGAGCTCACCGTGCAGGGGTGTGGCGGGTCTCCTGGCTCGGGGCAGAGCGCACTGAGGCGCCAGGAGTGGGCAGCCAGCTCAGCTGTGGGCTCCAGGACTCCTTGGCGACTCCGCAGGTCATTACTGGCATCTCCATCAAAGTCTCCACATAGCCCAGCCACACGACCCCGGAAGTGTGGGGACAGCTGTATCAGGACCCGGGTGCCTGGTGGCATCATTGTAAAAAATGACCCTGGTACCCTTCAGCAGGGCTGGGGTCAGGAGAAGACCCAGGGACATAATACTGCCCTGCATGGGTACCCCCACCCAACAGAGAGTGCTGGTTCTCTCTTTTCTGGGGGGTGGGTTAATTGGTGGTCATAAATGAAGAGACAGACATTGGAGAGGAAGGGCCAGAAGTAAGAGCCTAGTTTCCTAAACAAACTTAGGTTGGTGCCTGTAATCCCAGAGCCTAGGGAGGCTGAGGCAGGAAGGTTGTAAGTCCAAGGTCAGCCTGGGCCACTTGGTGAGAACCTGTCTCAAGATATATTAAGAAGTGCTGGGGATGTGGTTGAATAGTAGAGCACCCCTGGGTTCAATCTCTGGTACCACAAGGGGGAAAACAAAACTTAAGTTTGGAAAACTCCCCATCTGGCTGCATTCTGGATGGGAAACCAGGATGGGCTGAGGCTTTCCCACACCAGAGTCCTGGTGGCGAGGCCTAGAGGCAGCCGGGCTCTGCCGCGCCGAGTCCCTACAGGGTTATTTTGGCTTCCCTCAATTTCTCACTGAGAGTTCTGTTTCTAAAACGCCAACTGCTTGTGTTTGGGTGGTAGAATGTTGAATCTATTTTCATTTCTTCTTCCTAAAACTTGGTATTTTCTAAATATTTCTTGGGTGAGGCAGCATTGCTTTCATAATGAAGAAAAACAGGATGAAAACATAATTTGGAAACTCTGACCACTTGTTCTGGCAGTGAGGTGGGGGTGGTGTTGGGCTGGGGGTGCCCAGTGGAGGCCAGCAGGGCAGGGGAGGCCAAAGATCCTGGTCTGGCTGTTACTCTGGATATCTGCCTTGGAGGCTTATTGGAAGCTCAACCCTGATCTCAGAGCTGGGCAGGTGCAGGGAGGAAGGGTTTGGGGGGAGTCCAGTCCATCCAGTACTAAGGCTGGGTGTGGGTCAGGTGCATAAGGGTGGGGCCTAACCTCCGTCCCAGAGCAGGGTGAGGCCCAGGCGTGTGGTCAGCAGCAGGAAGAGGCCTGCACGGTGCAGACTCATCCCTGGGCCTGTGTAGGCCTTGGGGGGTGTTACACTCACCCCGTTCACCGTCACTGCCCGGCCTGGAGAGGAGGAAAGGTGTTCAGGGCCAGCACGGAGTGAAGGGCCTCCCAGGTCCCATGAAGCCCTGCCCGCTTCCCCTTCAAACCTCCTTTAGCCTCTCTACCTCTGTGACCTTAGGAAAGTCATTAGACTTCTCTGGAGCCTGGTTTATCTGAGAAATTATGAATTATGTCCCACCCCTCTGAGGACAACCAAGCCCAGTGAGGACTCGACCTGAGGAACCTGGACCTTGGCCACACTGGTGTGTGGCTGTTATACCGTGCTGGAGTGCCCCCACCCCCTGTCAGGGTCTCCTTGCAATGTCACCGCCACCTCTGAGCATGTGCACAGTAGTGCTCTCCAGACGCACAGCCAGTGCCTTGGTGCAGGTGAGGCCGCTGGCCCCGCAGGGCAGGTTCTGGGCAGAGACGCTGAAGCGGCCACTGGCCTCTCGAACCAGCAGGTACTCGCAGGCTCCGGGGAAGGTGAGTGTCAGCCCATCAAACGTCACATAGTGGGGGGCACCCGATGCCTGGCACCATCCACTGCACAGCTGGCCTGTGCAATGCCACTGTCGGCCCTGGCACACACTGTGGGCAAGGGGCAGGGACAGAGTCACTGAGGAAGGGACCTGAGCTGTAGCAGGGGAGGCAACTGGTCCAGATTCCTGAGACTCCAGATAGGACCCCAGTGTGGAAGATCCCAGAGGTCCCCAGTGCCCAGCCCAGCCCAGATGCCCTACCCCACCTATCACCCCAACTCATTCTAGTGGGGGGGGGAGCATTGTGTTTGGAGAGCCAGTAGTCACAAGGCCAGAAGGGTGTAGATCAGGGGGGCTGGGCATACCAAGTGTTGCAGTTGTCCTGGATGGTGGCATTAGGTGGGTACCACTGCCCACTGTGACGGCAGGGACAGAGATCAGGAGGCACACAGCGCTCATCCTGGGCAGAGAGTGGGGATGCTGTTTTGGGCAGCTAGGGGAACAGGACAGTGCCCTGGTGCTGGGAAGGCCACTCTGGTGCCCCATCCCCTCCCCTCCCAGCCTCACCAGCAGCACGGTGCCTGGAGGGCAGACACAGCCATCAGTGCTGCCCATGGGGCAGGAGTGGTTGGCACTGGGGCTGTCACAGGTGAGGAGGCAGGCTCCAGGAGCATGGACAAGTTCCCCAGGGCAGAATGCACGCTGCAGGGCGCAGTGGTGGGCGGTACAGTTCCAGAGGCCCCTCTCCTGGCAGATGCTACGGGAGCGGGGATGGGGAAAGAGCCAGGCCCAGCAGAGATTCAGCCTCCAGGCCGCTGGTCTGCTCTGGTGAGAGTCTCAGGAACCCAGACACTGGGGACCCAGGCACCAGATCCATTTACACTGAGCGGAAACCCAGCTCTGATGCCGCAGCCCTGAGCGCTGCACCTCCCAGCACCCCAGCCTGCGATGATCAGCCCCTCCTCTCCAGCCCTCCCTCTTCAGCCCACCTTCTTTCTCTTGCCCCCCAAGCCATCACCCTCACCAGCGATTGCAGTCCTTCATGGTGACACTGCCAGGGCTGTAACGATGGGCTCCAAGCTGGCAGGAGCACAAACTGGGGGGGACACACTGGCCCTCAGGGTCCCACAGCAGCCCAGGGGGGCAGTTACAACCAGCCACACAGCCGGTCAGCTCCTGACAATCCTCTGGCTCTCCGCAATGGTGACCACACACTGGAGCGCACTCCTGGTACTCTTGGCCACCAGGACACAGGACAGCTGGACCCAGGGACAAGTGCATATCAGGAGCATAGTCAACCCCTCTGGGGCATACCCCCACTGTGCTTCCCCAGGAAGAAAAGCCCAGGAACCCCCTAAGGTCAGAGCTTCCTGCCCTCTCCAGCTTCTCCTAGAAGGGGCCAGGAGGAGGAGGTGGGAGGGCGTGTGAGGTGGGGCTGCCTGGGCAGGGGCTCACGGCAGAGAGTCTGGTTCCTCCAGGACAGCAGGGCGCCCTCCTGGGCACAGCGGTGCGCGTAGGCAGACAGCACGGCACACAGGCAGTCCCTGCCAGGGGCACAGCCACACACTGCCGCCAAGCAGCGCAGCTGGAATGGCTCCCTGTCCACCAGCCTGTGGCAGTCCTTGGGAAGAGAGGAAGCGGGGCTCTTCCTTATGAACTCCTCATTCTCTTGGGTCCCCATTGCTGCCTCCCTGTGACTGGTAGGCCACTCCGGCTACCTGGAAGGCTGGGCCATGCAGGATGGCACAGACTGCCTCTGCAAAAGCAAGGTGCTGGGAGTGTGTGCTGCAGGGGAAGAGCAGGACACTGTCCCCAGAGGAGCACTTTCCATTGCCTGCCACCTGGAACCTGCTAGCAAAGTCAGCAGTGCTGGTCTCCACATCCCCAGCTGGTGTCAGGAAGTCATCCTGCTGGTTCCAAGTGAAGGTGCCACACAGACCTTGGACCTGGGCCGTGGAGACGATGTGGGACAGTCACATTCAGACTCAGCATAACCTTGCCCAGCCTTTCACCCGCCTCCTGGCACACCTGGTGGGCATGGTGGGGGGCCAGGGTGATGTAGGCTGCAGGGTCAGCCACTCCCCAGAGGACACGGACTCCTGGCCAGCGTAGCAGCAGAAAGGTGGAGGAGGCTCTGGAGATGCTGAGGCCCGCAGTGCCAATCCAGGGCAATCCCACATCCTGCCCGTCCACCAGCACAGCTCCTGGAAAGGGAGCCTGATGATGGGGCGGCGGGGGGCAGGTGGATGGATGGGGCTGCAAGAACAGAAGGACTCGGGTGGGAGTGGGAGGGCCTGTATCGGAATGGGACCATCAGAGTGACCCTCAGAGGCCACCAGTCCCACTTGAGACTCCCCCTATGGGAAGTCTGGGTAATGGTCCATCTTTATTGGGGGGGAAGGGCTGGGGTGAGTGAATGGTTCCCATTTCCTCTGGTTTTGTCTTGTGTGAAGTGGCTATGACAAGCCTGTCTTGTCCCATCTGTGAAAGAGGATTACAAGGATAAATTTCTTTGGTGGCCTTGAGGTGGCCATGACAATAGGACCTTTACTGGAGCAAAGGAGGATGCCTGTTAGTGCCCCCCGCCTTTTGAACCAAGAATTAAACCCAGGGGTGCTTAACCACTGGGCCACATCCCCAACCCCTTTTTATTTTTTATTTTGAGACAGGGTCTTGCTAAGTTGCTTAGGGCCTTGCTAAGTTGCTGAGGCTGGCTTTGAACTCCCGAACCTCCTGCCTCAGCCTTCCAAGCCTCTGGGAATACAGGCATGTGCCACCATGCCCGGCTTCAGTGTCCAGTTTTGCATGTCTTTTTCCCATTGTGGCTGGCACAAAGAGCTGGCAGAAGAGAGCGAGGAACTGACCTGGGCATGGGGGAGTTGGAGGGACAGTGGCTTAGAGGGGCCTGCCTGGTCTGGTCATGATGAGATCTTTTAGATTTTCATAACAGTATGACTTGTGTTTTCCCCAAAGATGAGGCAGAAGAGGCCTTGGGACACGTCCTCAGGACAGTGTGTCTTCCTCAGAGATGGGAGGGGGCAGTTGAGGCAGTGAACTCGGCTGCAGAATCTGGGGCAGAGTTGTTGGGCTCTGAAGGGTGGGGAGTGTGGAAGGCAGGGTACCCAAGTCTTCTGGGTGAGAAGAGGGGACAGTGGGCGTGGCAGTCATCCTGAGAAGGTAGACCCGAGGCTACCTGAGTCTCTGAGCTGGATGTGGGTATCCCCCAGTGAGACAGATAGGGCATGGAGGCAGCTCCCAGAGTCGCAGTCCCCATGCTCCAGCACGATCAGCAGCTGCCCTTTCACGTAGTCCTAGGGACAGACAGAGGAACACAGGGCTGGGCAGACCCTCTGTTTCCCTGAGGAGGCCTCTGCAGATCTTTAGCTTCATCCAAGGCAGCTCCTACCCATGTGGGAGCTTTCCAGCCAGACAGACATTGTGAGAGATGGGGTTTGACCCTCGCCAAGATTAGCACACACAAATGCTTGTGCAAGTGTGTGCATGGGGTTGCACGAGTATATGTGATTGCACATTTGTTTGTGTCTGCATGAGGGAGGGATGATTCCCATCTTTCCTCCCCATGGGTAGGACGTTACACTCCAAGTGACTTACACTTGCTAAATCCATGTGTGCATGCCTGAGTGTGCTGTGTGCCTGCCTGTTTGTGTCTGTGTGCATACAGGTGTGTGTGTGTGTGCACCCACTGGTCTTTGTGTGCCTCGGGGAGATGGCCGCTTGGATCCTACTCAGCCAGTCTCTCTGCCCCACACTGCTCATGAAAGGAGGGGTGCAAACAAAAGAATGTGAATGGTCCACTACTGAGATGGGGACCCTGGATGAATGGAAAGGAATGTGATCTGTGCTGACCCTGAGAAAGGACCCATCTTTATTGGGGGAGGGCTGGGATGGGAGAAGGGTCCTTATTTCTCCTGGGGTTGTCTTGTTGAAGTGGCTCTGACAAGCCTGTCCTGCCCCATTTGTGAAGAGGACCATAAGGATGGCTTTCCTTGGTGGCCCTGAAATGGCCATGACAGCAGGACCTTCACCAGAGCCAAAGGAAGGGGTGGGAACCCAAAGAGAGGCTCTGGGGTCTGGGGAGCTGGTCTACCTCCAGCATGGTCCTTCTGGGCTTTTCCTTGCAGGGCTAGGGTTTTGCTTTATTTTTATTTATTTATTTTTTTGTGTGCTTTCCCTACAGCCCCCCTCCCCTGGACACCTTGGGGAGGGACCCTTCTCTGGTAAGATCCCTTTCCCAGAGTCGGTCCTCTACCCACCTGCACCAGGCTGTAGTGGCAGCCTGAGTGGCCCCGGAAGAAGAAGCTCCGCCCATCAAAGGTGAGGTAATGCCCATCGCCACCTACTGCACACTCAGCAGGACACAAGGCCTGGGCACAGTGCCAGTGGCCATCCTGGCACACACTGTGGACACATGGGTGGGACAGGGCAGTGTGGCATCAGTCCCACTCTGGGGTGGGGAGGCTAAGCTGGAGTCAATCCCCATACCCTGCTCCCTTGCCTCTCTGATGTCCCCACCACCCCTGGAAAGGGTAGAGGTCAGCTGGTCAGGGCTTTAAGAAAGGCCATCAGTTATGTCAGCAGAGATCACAGGTCACTGTGACCATGCCAGGAGGGAGCCCAGCCAGAACAGCCTGGCTGTTTGGGGAAGGCAGGTTTCAGAGAAAACATAAAGGGCAGGACCAGAGACAACCTCGCTGCTGCCACCCTATCAAGGCCTGAGGACCCACCACGGGTTACACAGCTGGTGCACAGTGTCGCCAGGGGCATAGCGCTGGCGCCGGTGGTAGCAGGGGCATCTGGAGGCAGGAACACAGAGGGCACCATCCCAGAAGAGGCCAGGTGGGCACTCGCAGCCACTCACACACTCTTCCCTGCAGGACCCTTCCTCTTCCTGGCCCACTGCCGAGCAGCTGCGGGGGCAGGAGGAGACGCAGTCGGAGTAGAGCTGACCCCCGGGGCATAGACGCTCTGTGGACATAGGAGTCGGCTGTGAGGGGCGGGGGTGTTCCACCAGACCCTGCTGACTCTGAAAAGCCAGGAAGACAGGGGAGCCAGCTGGGAGGGTGCCCAGGGGTGGCAGGGCCTTCAGAAAATGAGGCCCTTGAGGACCCTCGGTCATTTCCACAGGGCAAGACGGTCAAGTAGTACCACAGAAGCCAGGCTTCCTCCAGAGCATGTGGATGCGTCGCCTGGCACAGGCCTGGGCATAGTTGGCAAAGGTGGCACACACAGCCTCCTGCCGCCCCTCCTGGCGACCCAGAGCAGCCCCTGCACAGTAGGCAAAGAGGCAGGCCTTGTGGTACTCATCGGGGGAGACCTGCAGAGAAAGGTCGGCCTGTCAGCTGGCAAGCGCCTTCTCCTCACCAGCACCTCCCACCCCCTGAACTCTGGAAGGGGCCTGTTCCCAGAGGTAAAGCCCAGGACAGGAAGGGGTGTCTTGACCAAGGGACCAACAGAGTCTAGCGGCAGGACTGGGTCGCTTAACTGGCTCCTCTCTAGTACCCTCCTGGCCCCACCCTCTGGACAGTCCCCTCTGGAGCTGGTCACCACCTCCACCCCCACCCATACCTGGGCATGGCACTGCCAGAATGGTCTCTCCAACAGCTGGTGGCATACATCCTGGGCTTCAGCTCGCAGCTGGCCAGCATCCATACCTGCCTCTGTGCCCTTCAGGGGTCCCTCACAGCCCTGATCCACCTCCACTGCATCCAGACACCCAGGCTGGGGACAAATGGAGCCAGGCCAGGTAGCAGTGATGAGGGACATTAACTAGGAAAATGACCACTGCCCTCCTAGCCACGAGGCCACATCATTGTTCCCACCATGATGTGGGCTGTGTACACAACACCCCTGTGTACACAACACAGTGGGGACAAGCCCAAGGGGGAGGCAAGGGACTCAGGGTCACAGTCCACCGCAAGCAAGCGATTAGATGATGAACTAACCACCAAAGGTGGTCAGGGATGAGGTTGGCCAAGGTGCCCCTTGATGGTCAGTTCATACAAGACAGCCAGACTGCAGGCAGCACCTGACACTGAGCTTCCTGTGGGATACGAGGCCTACCTGCTCACCCCTGAGGGTCTCCCCCTGGGAGTCCGTCTGTCCCCTTCAGCCAGGGGAGAGCAGCCAGGAGGAGCCCAGGGTGGCAGTCTTACCTCAGAGCTAGGGAGCTTCCAGGAATTCCCAAAGGTGGCAGCAAGCATAGCCAGGCCCCCACCTGGCTCGGAAAAGTCATCTAAGGAAGGGTGAAGCAGAGATGCTGGATGCTGGACTTGGGGTCCAGTCCCCTCTTCCTCCCTGACCAGCTACCAAGCACACCCTACCTACCCTCGGGCCGGCCATTGTAGAGCCCACAGAGGCCCTGCGTCTGTCCTGAGTGCTCATGGTCCACCGAGATGGACACCGAACTGGACCTGTCCAGCCGCACAACAACCCCCAGGCCCCCCGATAGCACCAGCCAGTCCCCCTGCCACTGCAGGCTCAGCCCTGGGAAGGAAAAGGGCGCCATTCAGCCTCCTGTAGCCATAGTCCCTGCTCACCTCCACAGCAGGACTCCAACTACCCAAGGAAGCAGCGGGGAAGGGAAAGAATTCTGACCATTCTAGAGAGCTCTGCACCTTTCCCATTGTAGACACTCTCTAGACTAAACTACAACACACACACACATACACACCTTACATGCACCCCCACAGTATACACATACACACTTCATACACCCCTGTGTACACACACACACACACCACACACATTGCACGTACACATAGCACACAAACACATACCATATATACACAATGCACCACACATACACACACTTCACACAGTACACCAATATACACGCACATTACACATGTACACACACCAACATACACATACGTTCATGCACACACTGGGCACTGGCACGCACACACACACACACACACACACACACACAGATCCACACTTCACCGGCCTCATGCAGTCCCATTCAGAATGACACTCTCATGAGGGAGGTGGGGAAACTGAGGCTCAGGTAGATTAAGGCGAGGGACTTGCCCAGGGTCATGCTCAGTGGGTGGGGAGTGGGAGGTACCGGACCCCCATCCTGGGGGCTATTCATTTCTAAAGGCCTCCCAATAACAAGGTGGGACAGGCAACAGCCCCAATCCCCACTGACCCTCCACAGCAGACCCACAGGGTCCTCACCATGGAGCAGCCGGGGCTCCCCATCAGGGACAAGCTGCCCCTTCACAGAAACATCTCTACCCTGGATCTGCACCTCCTCTGAGCCCATTATCACCAGGACCTGGGGAGATGCACAGTGAAACAGGGTCAGCAACTCTCCCCATCCCCCTACGTCTAGTCCTCTTCTGGGGCCACCCCCATTTCCCTCCCTTACCAGCTGACAGTGCCCAGGTTGTGGACAGTGGTCCCTGGGCCTGAGGTGGACAGCCCAGGTAGAATCAGCAGCTCCTGCCAGCAGATAGGTGCACTGGCCCAGGAAGTGGTAGTGGCGCCCATCAAAAGTATGGTAGTGGAAGCCTGACCAGGTGGCACAGGTGGCTGAGAAACGCTGGCGCTGGCTCCAGAGCTGACCCACAGCCCCCGGTAGGGGCTGCAAGAGGACTGCAGAGGAAGCATTGCCTGGACACGACACATCACATGTAAGCTGCTGAGTGCAGGGGTCAGAGGGCCCACAGAGCAGGAAGCATGGGGATAAGGCATGGTTACTCTGGTGGGCAGGGGAGTAGGCAGGATCCCAGAGCTCAAGGCCTGGCATGGGGATGATGGCCAGGATGTGCCCTGTCTGTAGGCTGGGGTCTGCAGACCCACCTGGAAAGTGTTGGCTGGAACAGCTAAGGCAGAGCTGAGAGCCACTGTCCCACCAGCTGTGTCCCCAAGGTCTGGCACAGCACTCTTCCAGGTTTTCTGTTGAAGTATTAGCTGAGCCTCCCAGAGGCTGGCACTGCCACGTGGCAAAGCAGTGGCCACCAGGGCTGTCTTCCATAAGGGCTGCAGCATATGGTGGAGAGAATGGGGCACACCCGGACAGTCAGCAGAATGGCCTGTAGCTCAGCCTGGTCAGTTCCCCTCCTCAGGGAGCCTATCCCCTCCCCTGAAGACGTGAGTGAGGTTAGCTGCTCACAATCCCAGAAGGTACATGTCACCCGCACTGGCTCAGGAGCTTACCATCCATACACTGAGCGCCCCCCCAGCCTGGACAGCAAGCCCTCACTGTTCGGTTCCATGTGGCAGGCCGAGTTTCTGGAGGTCTGCACCCATCAAGCAGGGGGAATCAGGGAGAGATGTTAGTGTCTAGCCCAGCCCTGGAAAGGCCTGGGACAATGGGACCAGTGAACTACTCTCTGAGGGATTTATCACATAATTTTCCTCCTCCTTTCTTCACTCGAAAAGTGAGAATGTCATTGGGGGCAGACAGAGGGAGCAGGCATTGGGACTCTCTCTGCTCCACCCACTGAGGTACCTCTCATCCACACACCCCAATCTTGCACTTTGTGCTGCCTTTCCCCGAGCCCACCCAGGGCCCACTTCCCAAATGCCTGCTTATGCCAGGTTCTCCCCATCCTCCCCCACTCTCAGGATTTCCGGCCGTCACTCCTTTCCTGCCTGGCAGACAGCCCAGGCTCTGACCCTCACTCACTTGTATATGCGACAGAGCCCAGGTGCTGGAGGCCCTGAGAGCTCCTCGTGGCCACTCCTGGGCAGGTCCAGCCGCCAGCCTAGGCGGGTATAGTGGTAGAGGCTGGCACAGGGCACCAGATCCTCCCTACGGGGGGCCACTTCCTCCTCCACATGGATCGTCTCCGTCTGCTCACACCATCGCCTGTCCATGGATAGGGAACTGCAGCAGCTGCCGTGTCCCCTTTGTTACCAGGAAGCCCTGTCCTGTGACCCCACTCCTATAAGAGATAACTTACAGGAAAGGTCCCTGAAGTAAGGAAGAGGATAAGGTTGGAGAGAGAAGCACTAGGGAGGTCATTCTGGGGCTAGAGAGGATCTTAGCTTGAGGAGTCCCAGTGGACTGCTTACCCATTAGCCAGTGCCCAGAGCATCCCAAAGAGAACAGCAAGGAGGAGCATGTTGCCCACCCCAGTCACCACCAGGGTCTAGTGAGGCCTGGGCTTGGGCAGTGCTGCTGCAGGGGAATAGAGAGGCCAGTGCTGGTCCCCCTACCCCACACTGCTGCCTACTGTGACCTGGAGGCCAATCTGTCCCCAAGGCCACAGAGAGAGCCAGGCTGTAGGCCTTTTGTACTGGGGAGGCTTTATGACAGGCTTGCACCTCCAGGCACAGCTGCCCAGAACCTGGTTGGATCTGCCCTGACAATCCTCTCAGTGCCAGCTCCTCCTGGAAACAGCCCCTCCCCCCAGTGGGTACGATGGGGATCAAAGCCAGTCGCTTTGAGCCTCTGCTATTCCCATACTTTCAGAGGCTACCACAAATGAACATGGGCTATGGGCAAGCTACCCTCCCTTTCTGGGCCTGTTTCCTTACTAGTAAAAACTTCAGGGACTTCCCAGAGATGCACAGATGGGACTCAGGGACTCCATGAATTCTTTGAAACTGTATGTGTGCATAATCTTCCAAGGACAGTTTCATAATGTGTATCAGATGCTGGGGGGGGGGGGCATGGTGCCATCGAAAGATCAAGAGTTACTGGCTCAGCGATTGGTCGGTCTACCTGCCCTCAAGCTGACTTGATCATGCTCTTTTCCTATCTCCTCTGTCCCCTTTCCTGCCAGGCACTCAGGATTTGAGGGCCAGGGAAACTGGATGACCATGTGCTTTCCTCTGTTGGGTCAGACTTCTTAATGAGATGATGATGTGTGGCTGATTTGGCCATCCGGTCTCCTTCTGTGAGGGTTTCCTAGGGTCCCTGGGTGGAGGACTGAGGGGAACCAAGAAGGAGAATTTGGGTGGGAAGTGGGATTGGGGCTGTAAAACAGCACCCCCAACCTGGGTGGGGGCTGAGCCGGATGGAGTAATCTCAGTGTCCGGTTGGGAGAGGGCAGCAACAGGCTCCTCAGGGGAATCCTGGTTACATCCTGGTTACCAGCAGAACTCTGACACACTCAGACTGACACACCAGCTCCTAAGCCTGATGTCCCACTGAGCATCCTGAATAGTCATCCCACCTGGGGTGAACAACAGCTAGGTTCAGCTTCCTTCTGGAACCTGGGGCCAAATAAAAAGGGTCATGTTGAGCTTCTTCCAGGGCTCACAGATAGCTAGGATTGGCATCCTAGACCCAGTAGTCCTGGAAAAGAGCCAGGGTGTGTGGTAAGCCTACTGTTCTTCCAGCCTTTCTCAATGCTCACACATTACTCCTCCTTTTGTGACCTACATGTGGACACCCCTGCTCCAGCCCAGCACACACAGAGGTACACATTTGCTCCCAGGGTGACCTGCAGTCTAGTCAGCATCCATTATACAGAAGAGCCTTTTTAAGCTGAATGGGAAGGACCACCTGCTCTTCCAGGTCCAGCTGTCCCTGGGCCTCTCACTATCACCATCCACAGACATTGCGGTCACCCCTGCTGTGTGCTGTGCTACTGTGTCCTACAAGGTCTGCCTTGGGTCAATGTGCTCTGATTCCATAGGTGTCTCCATTCTTGTGATTGGGTGCTATAGCCAGGGGCACTTGTTCAGTCCACTAGGGCCATTCACTGGCCTCCCCTTCTCAGGCTTACTCCAGTTCTGGATTCCAGCAGTCATGAATAGGGCATCATTGGGCTTTGGAAGAAACACAAGTCACAGGCAGGAGGGAGGAAGCCGGAATCCAGGGGAGCAGGCAGAAAAATCGTGGGGAGGAGGTCTGCAATAACCAGTCCGCGTTTTAGCTGGAGGAGGACGGGATATGAGGAGTTTAGGGAGTGGAGCCTCGCCCGCTAGGCTGAGGAGAAACTGCAGGACGGGGCGGGGTCAGCGGCCAGGCCCCGGGGCTCAGAGGACAGCCCGCCACACCTGAGGCCGGCAGGGCCCACCTAGTACAGAAGGCCCTCCCCTCTCTGTCACCCCTCCCTGCCCCGCCCACGCAGTCACCGCCCAGCCTCACCCCCTGCAGCCTCAGCGCCAGCCGCCCCTCCTCCCGGGGGTCCTGGCTCAGAACCTCCTCCCCAATTTCTACTGGGGGGCGGGGAAGGCCCTCTCTCTTTGGGCCCCTTTCCACCGTTCTCGCAGGGGGTCTCAGCTCCAGCCTCGGGAATCTAGGCTGGAGGGAAGGGGTCTGGGTGGATCCGGGTAGGATCGGGTGTAGAGCGGGACCCGCAGGAGTTTCTCAGCTCCCCCCCCCCAGCCCCACGGTCGGCCCGTCACGTCTCTGGCAGGACCGCGGCGGGGCCACAAACCCGACCCGCACTCGCGATTTAAAGACTCCAGGCTCCCACTGCGAACACGCCCCCTCCTCTTCCTGGCAACTCCTCACCCCCTCCCGCGCTCCACCTTTCCCCGGCTCCTCCCTCCGAGGCTGCGAGCACCCTCCCTCGCAGCCCGAGTGCCCTACCTCCCCGTCTCCTCTCCCTCCTCCCCTCCCTCCTCCCCTCCCTCCCCCTTCCCCCTGTCCAGAGCTCCCACTTTCCGTCCTCTCCCGCGGGCGTCGGGCCTCAGGACCCTCACCTGCACACCTCACCCCGCGGTGCCCGTCCCTCGACCCCGCTCCCCGAGACCTCGGTCCCAACCTCCCTAGCCTGGTGCCTCGGGGCTCGGCTCCCGCTTCCTCGGTCTCTTCCCCCTTGAGGGCGCCGCTGCCCTGCTCCCTCTCCCTCGGCGTTTTTCCTTCCCCTCCCCGTGAAGTTTCGGGGCTGTCAGTCTGTCAGTCTTTCGGGCAGTCGGCACCCGGGCTGCAGGCAGCGGGCGCCATTGTGAGCAGAGCCGGCTCGGGCAGGAGGCCCGGGCGCCTGGGTCCCCGAGGCTGGCTGCAGCGCGGCGACCCGCCCGCCCGCCAGGTAAGGGCCGGGAGGCTCCCGGCGCCGGCGGCTCCGCCCGCCTCCCCTTCAGCGCACACTCAGAGCCCGCAGCGTGCAGGTGACAGCCCCCGGGGAAGGGGCGCCGGGAGCGGGGCAGGGGTGGGGGAGGGGCGCGGGTCGCCGGCGAAAAGGAGGGGACCGAGCCGGGGGGGGGGGCGAGGCCGGAGGGGCGGCGGCGAGGGTCGCGGAGTGCAGGAAAGGGATCCGGGAACTGGAGAGAAGGGCGGGGGCCGGGACCCCGAGTGACTCTGGAGGACACCCGGAGGAGGGGAGGTGGAGTGGGGTCTGCTCGGGAGGAAAACTTGGGGGGTGGCGAGAAGTCA